CGCATAAATTACCAAATACTACCACACATAAAGGTGGTTACGAGATGAGAACGAAGCAGAACAAATACCTAGTACAGGTTTCATACCATTAATTGATAATCTTATCTTGGTAATAGAAATATTTCAAATTGAATATAATATGGAAAGACAACAAGATAGTGGTCATTCTTTTTCATTGTTTACTGTGTGATTGTGTGGATTTGTTTTTCTCTCCAGTCGTTTGTCAAGGCAAATAGTTTTTTTTAAATATATTTATTAATACTCAATAACCAAGTGCAAGGTCTTTTGCCAAAACCTTCTCATAGATCATGAACTCGATTATTTCCCTGAAAATATGTTATTTGAATGTCGGACAGGATAACGTAGCGAAAATGGTATATCTATTTAAAAATTAACTCCGGTTGAAATCGTGCGCCCAATTGATCTCATAACATGCAATATACGCATCCTATACAATCATGGCTATGTAAGTGGATTTGGAATTACGTGTAAACTCTGTATATTCCCGAATCACTTCCTTGTTATTAACCCAATCTTGGGCGAGATATCAAATTTGTTTGATTTTTTAATATGATGTCTAAAATGTCACGAAATTGAAGTTTTAGTAGTTTAAAATCGGTTAAATTTTAAAAATCTGTTAATTTTGGTCATTTCAAAGGCTGTCCCAAAAATGGGACGCTGCCCACAAGAGGGTACATGTTTTAATAAAAATATAAACAATAGCAGTGGAAATTATAATGACGGTTTAACAAAGAAACAACTAGTTTTTATTTAGATCAGGTAATTTATTTCATTTCTAATTATATTTGTATAAAATATCAAACGTTAAATAATGTAAAATCCCATGTAGGCTAAAGTCCCATTTTGCTGTATATTTTACTAAATCGCTTTAACCGGCGTTAAAAAATTACAGGTGACGGAAAATTCTTCTGGTTTATTCAGACATATTCTCCTACTTAATTTATTCTGGGGGTTGAATAAAAATATCGGCACCATTTAAGTCGTCCTCGTCATCCAATATCCGATCCACGGTTTCATTTATACGGAAGCGTATAGGGGTCATGCAAAATTTTGTAGAAGGCCTCGAGATCCTGCGATCCTGTAATACTTTCTCGAGATCTCAATTTAATGTTCTCGAAATCACCTAATAAATTTCTCGAGAATCTCCCATCCTAGCTGCGTTAACGATCTCGAGAATTGGAGTTAATGTTCTCGGGATCTTGCCACCCTGTGTAAATTTTCTCGAGATCTCGGGTAATTTCATGTGTGTGCGTAGTTTTAACGTATTCTCAGCGCCCCACAACCTGTTGTTTCGGAGTTTACCCCCCCCCCCCCACACACACACGTACACACACTTTCCCGAAAACCTTAATAGCTCGGAAGAGCCTACAGTTTTTAACGGTTTTGTTTCAAATTTTGTGTTTTAACGGATTTTCGATATTCAGTGTTCCGCGACAAGGATGACCCCTGTTAATTTTCAGCAATATAAGATTTCTGTCCCAGAGAGATAACAAGCAGGGGAACACGATAGAGATTAGATTTCTTGATGAATGCTAGATCCTTATACAATTTATTAAACAACCAAGTTTTCCTTTCGAATAATCTGCTGTTGATGCATATATGCTGCGTGGGCGTATCTCCACACTTTGCGTGACTATCGTTCAAATTTCTTTTGAATCATTAGTGTCACAAGCAGAGGAGCCCTATTTATTTTCGGCGGAACAATGAACCGTATTGATTTGCAGCGCTCCCTGAAGTTTTGTTATGGCGTTATTCCTATTTTCCGGTAAACCTTGTGAACGCGTTAGAACCCAGAGTTTTTCAAGATTTTTTATTTAAAATCTGCTCCTAAGCATTTGTGACGCAAGACAATAAAATCTCTGTTTTGCTTTATTCTTAAACAAAATATGGTCCGAAAACCATGCAGAATATAACATTTTCAATTAAACGTCGCCCACACATTAAATTGAAATAATTTAACAAACAAGTCTGTAATTCAAAGCTTTACACATTAAAGCTAACGTGGTAGGGTTTGAATTTCATATTTGGTGTGAAGTATTGGGCTATAAGACGATGAACCCAATCGATTTTAATCATATTTCAAATTTAGTGTAAATCATGGTTGTCCTATCGATTGTCCGTATATTCTTTCATTAGTTAGCAGTTTTCCTTTGTAACAAATGTTAAGAGTATATTTGTTTTATCAAATTTGGTGCGAAGTATTGGGACAATGGTTGCTTCACAACGTGGATACACTATCATATAAGGTTTCATATTAACTCGGGATCTCGAGAAAATTTACATAGAATGTCAATATCTCGAGAAAATTAACTCAAATTCTCGAGAAAAGATACACAGGATGTCAGTATCTCAGGAAAATTATCAGGGGATTTCGAGAACTGAGATCTCGAGAAAATTACCAGGTGATCACGGGATTTCGAGAAAGTATCACAGGATCGCAGGATCTCGAGACCTTCTACAAAATTTTGCATGACCCCTATATATACGCTTCCGTACATTTACACTCAGTAAGCTATAAAAATTCTTGTAAAATTATACAAAACACTATCTGTGCTGTAAAATTGAAAAATTTCACTATTCGGAACTTAGCAGGTACAAAATGGCAAATGTGAAAAACATGCCCTTTAATGGGCATCGTCCCAAAAATGGGACGGACTTTATTCAGCTCACTAAAAGTAATCTATTTTGATTATTCTTGCACAAAGTCATATTTGAGAATCTAGAACACATAACCTTTAATATGATCGTAAAATTTTCCCGAAATATATACTGTAAAAGGATTACTGACCTTTGACCCTTTTGACTTTCGCATTTTGCAGGCTGTGTCATTACGGACGCCATCTTGGAAGGGGAGGTAACTCCATGAGACTTTTTTTCAAGTCAATGTCAATTAGGCTCTTTATGTATTATACTAATACTGTTACTTTAATAATATCTTGATTTTCTTTGTTTTAATATTGATTTGTAGGGTCGTCCCAAAAAAGGGACGCTGCCCTTGAATAATAACATACAAACAGAGAATTTAGAATTTAAAGCAGATATCACAGGTAAAATGTACATTAGTATTAATCTAATTTTATTTTTATTTCTAAGATTTTCTCAATATAATGTATAAACTAATACTTAGACGTCCCAGTAATAGTTGTATTATATACATTAGAAAATAAACTGACTATATTATATTAGTGATACAAATATTTGTTATCACTGTATACGTAGTTTAACTAAGATGGCGGTCAGTGTTCTTCATCTATTTGCTGTGTATTTGTGTTTGCTGTCTGTCTCTACTCCAGTTGTTTGTCAAGGTAAATTTGGAATTTTTAATGTTCAGGTACAATATTCCTCTTATCTACAAATTAAATGCTTTGATAAAACAATTTAACCAGTAAGTTTCACGACTTCTCTGAATAAATTTTTTTTATGCATAATATGTTCCCAGAAGCAGACTTCCGTTAGTCTAATAACCGTCTTGTATACTAATTTTTATATATGTGTATCCAGTGGAAGTTCTTTTCTTATGTATAGTTAAACTGTGTTCGATATTTTGTTTATTTTGAAATATTATGTACATGATATATGTTCTCTGTACAATCATAAAAACATAATGATATTATATAGTTTCTTGTTAATACCAGAGACAAATGAAATGAAATGAAATGGAGTTTAACGTCCTACTGTTCTGCTCCTAACCTGGGCTAATGAAGACGGGCATACGCCATACAGTGTGCTATGAGGGAAATTTTGCCCGGACAGCGGCACTACGGCCTACTCTTATATCGAATTCCAATTGCCAAGGGATCTTTACGTGCACACCAATGTGTCCACGGGACCTCGGTTTTTCGTCCCATCCGAACGACTAGACAGCTTTCCTTGTCAGCCCCTCCGTCCTGCATCACTGACAAGGGAGAACCACGCCGGAAAATCTGGATGAACTTTCTCGGCCAATGCAGGTAACACTTTAGTTTTTGATTCCCCTGTTTTAAACATGTAATCGAATTAATGATATAGGAAATATCATACCATACAATTGCGGAAAAACGATATTAGGTTAGGATGAGGCCTGCCGCGGGATTGGGGAGGGGAATGTGTCAATGGTGATTTGTGACGCATATATCTGAACCGGAATATAACATTCATTTTCATGAGTTACATCCACACAAACCAACAAAAATCTCAAATTTACACGTTTCATAGTAACAGAAAGATAAGTGAATGTTTTTAAAGTGTCAATTGGTTTAGAGGGTGGTCGGCCCCAGTACCCCCTACTGGATCCGCCACTGATACCATATCAAAACATACACAGGTCACAATTCTATACAATACAATTACTGCTTATTACTAAGCGACGTTTAAACTAGGCTTCTCTAGTCTTTATCAAGCAGTGGTAACATGAAATGTAACGAGAGAATATACACATGTAAAAACAATACTTGGTTAATGTTGACCAGCCAGAGACAGCCTCTAGTACAACAGGCATCTCTGCATTCTCATTAAGAAAGACAGATTTTTAAGACTAGAGGATCCTACTCCAAACGTCGCTCAGTAATAAACAGAAATGAGTATTCCAATTAAATTACTAAATGTTATTGAAACAATATCAACACATGCCAATACATTATAGTACTGTATCGTAACCACAAAGTAATGTACTATTTAAGATGAATTTGTATCTTTTAATAAATTATTTAATTATAACAATGATTAACAGGTTGTCAGCCAGTTTCAAAGTTGAATGAAACTACTGGATTGATAAAATCTCATATTGGTTTTGGAACAACTTTGTATCCAGATAATCTAAACTGTTCATGGCGGCTGACTGCACCTGATGGTTACCATATAATTCTAAATAAAGTTGTCTTTAATATCGAATCCTCACAAAAGTACGTACATCTATTTATCCATTATATGATTCAAAAATGAAATGGGATTTAACGTTTTGCCTTTCTGCACCAACTAGGCGAATGATTCGGGTAATTGTAATGCAGATGCAAACGGTAAATTTGAAATTAAATGTACACCCACTCGTTTTTCTTAAATACTTCAGATGAATAGTGGTAATGCTATTTACAACAAGACAATCTACTGACTGATCTGGTGAATTAGAATAAAGATTGTGTCCTGAAAATATTATAAAATTAACACTAAGCGCCAAGTTGTAAGACCCATCTCGCCTCCCATACACCTGTCTTAATTCCAGTATAAAGCAGGGGCGGATCCAGGAATTGTAGCAGGAAGGGGTTTGCCAGGTTCCTGAGAAAATATATCCCCCCCCCCCCTCGGCTTGAAATGTTTTGAGAAATGCATGGTCTCTATCGTCATTTTGGTGTATATACATACACATTGAGCTTTTTAAGCAGAGAAATCCAACATCCTGTATGACGTCAATTTTTATTATAAATTAATACGATGACATTGTAATTCAATTTAATTATTGATGCAAAGCAATAATTGTGATATCACATATGTTATATCATTATCTCACGCTTCGAGTGCCCATCCTGTCGCACCATCTGACGATAAAGGATAAAGCACAATTATGACACTTTTCTCATAAAAAAAAGTTGTTTTACAAAAGGTTGTTTTACAAAAATTTTTTTATGTAGCTGAGCACCTCTGGATCCGCCCCTGTCACTGTAAAGTATAGAAATTGTTAAAGTTTTAGTAGAATAGACTGGCTATATTTCAGCTGTGTAAATGATGTCGTAAAAGTAACATGGAATAATGCTAGTAAATTGTTTTGTGGAGGTGATGGACCGGAGGATTTTGATGTCAACAATTCGGCAATAATAGCTTTTACAACTGATGGCCAACATAAAAGTTTAGGATTTCTCATAAGATATAACTATGTTCAAAACTACCAACCAAAACATAGTTGTAAAAGTTCCACCGTCTTGACAGAGACTGGTAGTATCACCAGCCCACAATATCCCAATAACTATGATAACGACCTTACGTGTCGTTGGACGTTACAAGCTGATTATCTAAATGTAAGTTCAATATTGATTACATTTTTTATAAGACAAACGTATTATTATGTATTGATATCTCATGTTAATATTAAAATTTACGAATAGATAGTCCTATTAGGTATCCTCCTGTAGTGACACCCTTGTATTAAAGCTGTGTTACGTAATTCTACTCTACCACAATACTATGCTTAACCCATGTCTGTTCGATCCTTTCTATATTTTCGACTAACCACAGTCTAGTTGTTCCTCAAAGTACGGATTTCTTGCACATTTTGAAGTGAAATGCAAGAATGGTTTACCTTGATTCCGATAAGATGACATTTATAGAGAATTTCAAATAATCTGTACACTGCCGTTCTGTATTCCAATATTTCCGCTATACTTTGTTGTGTATTTTTTTCAGAATATAGCAATAGAGATTGTAGATTTACAGGTTGAAGGACACAGTGATGAAGGGTGCCCATATGATTATGTTTCAATATATGATGAGATAGAGAAGAGATTTATAGGCAAGTCTTTGTCATTGGGATATTTAAAAAAATGAAATTGTATTGAATATAGCGTGATCTTCACGAAACAGGGAGGGATGGGGGTGGGGTGTCAGGTCGCCTAGAAGAGTAAGCTTACCCTGTCTCGCGCAAGATATCCGCCGCTATAGTGAACCATATCGATGTTTGGCCGTGGAGTTCGTAAGCCGTGTGCTAAAGGGTTTGAGAAATTCTATAGACCTGGTTTCGATATTATTTAGATTTCTCTGAAAAATTCATAACCATATCCTATACAACCCATAATTAATTCACTTATCAAAAATTGTTTAATTAATATAATTTTACTTCAGCGCTTCCAAACATTGCTTGTATATATTTTGCTTTTCTGTAGGAAGATTATGTGGACATTTGAATACTCAAACTATTAAAACAAATAGTTCTAAAGTACTACTACAGTTTGTTAGTGATGGTAGAAATAATGACCGTGGATTCAAATTAACATGGAATCAAGGTAAATATGTTTTATCAAATTTAAATTCATATTTAAAGTTACAATCGCGACATATATTTGCAAAACAATGGCGTGGATGCGAATGTAGTTGCCCCTTAATAGTAAGTGCAGGGGGACTGCACCACACAAAATTTACACAAAAACAAATGCACGGACAGGACATCATACTCAGGAAAACACAAACATACAGACAATTCAAAAAAAGTGAATGGATCCGGGGGCTAGCCGTAAGCGTCCACTGCGCTGTACAGTCCTGGGTCTGTAGTGACACAGACTTCACTCAAATTTGAAAACAATTAGGAATACAACCCAAAGAACCCATTGCGTAATGCCAGCATGAGTCATGATCTGCTATATGCTACACGAAATACGAATGTAAGCATATGTAGTAAAATTCAACTATACAAGTAACCACATCGGTGAAATGTATAAAAAAAAGTAGTCTAAACTCTAAATTCAATCAAGAAACGCTTTGATTTGTAAAAACCGACCACGTCCAGTTTTGGAATGGGGTCAAAACACGCTATATCATGGTGATCTACAAACTTACCAATTCTTAGAAACCTCTTAAATACAACGTTTGAAAGCTCTCATTCTTAAAACAGGTTGGCAATTAAAATTTACCGTATGCGGCATTGTCGAGAATACCGGTGCTTAAACTGTTAAAATTTCTACATTTATATACATATTCAACATTTAGTTTGATAAAAGCCTGATTAATGAAAACAAATTATTATGTCTTACATAAACGCATTGCTATATAAAAAAGAAATTTGTTACTGTAGTATGCTTATAAAATACAAGTTATATTACGTAATTGGAATCATTTTTCAAAATCGTTATCTGCACATGACAATTTAGATTATTTTTTTTATTATTAGTGCCATCAGAACTTCGCATACCAACTTGTGGGGGTTATCTTAACAGTTCATCTGCAGATATATCACCTCCGATCACCACCACTACCAAACTGTATTATCCCAATACGGATTGTGGTTGGACAATCATAGGAGACAACAGATCTATAGCTATTGCCAACTTTGAATTATTTGATATAGAGTTCACTAGACTCTGTGATTCTGATTATCTCGCTATATATGATGGTGTAAATGATACGGCTCCCCTATTGGTAAAACTTTGTGGTCATATACTACCAGCTAGTGTTGTAGCTTCCTCGAATTTGATGTTTATTAAGTTTCACTCTGATAATTCTACACAGGGAAAGGGTTTTATTATCCGTTATGTAGGCATAATAACAGGTTAGTTATTTATGTATCGATAACCAATATTTAAATGAATCGGATTTGATAACATTTTTTTCGTAGTTTACTTGAGATCTTCTATTTGTAATTTGGGAGCCACCGTGGCTTGGTGAGTATGGTGGTGTCTAACACACCTGGAGGTCCTAATCCGATCATGGTGATTGTCTATATAGACATTTCCTCGGGATTATACAACCCGTTTTCCCCGCTTCAGTGGCGCAGAACGGGGCTATGGCAAGGCAAAGATCCACTGACAGATGCAAATTTAAATAAGACCAGGTCGTGACACCGCTGTTCCGATAAACGTTTTCAAACAATGCACGGTATGTCGTATATCCGACTTCACTGGGGCAATCGGTGCAGACAATAATTTAAGACCTTCACCCCTATTTTATTTCGCGCGAAAAGGTAGACCAGAACCATCATCACATTTCTGGGCTATAGCTTGTAACACTGTATGTTTATTATGGCTATGTTCGTAAAGATAGGGAATTAAATGGGGTGGGGATTAACGTCCTACCTGTCTGATCTAACCTGGATAATGAAGACGGGCATACGTCATACAATGTGCTATGAGAGAAAATTTACGCGGACAGCAATTGGATTCATCTTTGCATTGAGCTTCGATGTTCTTAAATATTTCAGAAACTTCTACTGATCCACCATTGTTACATTGTCCCAAAGAAATAAAGGATATTTCTGGAGAATCGGGACAACTGACATCCATAGGGTATAGTGGTTATCAAGCGTACAGTCCTAACCTAACCTGTCAATGGCGACTAACTACAACACCTGGAAAAGTTTTAGTTTTACAGTTCAACGATTTTGAGACAGAATTTGAAGCTAAATGTTCATATGATTATTTAGAAATAAGAGATGGTGCTGATGCTTCAGGACGAATATTAGCTAGATATTGTGGAGTGGCACCACCACGAGATGTTACCTCAACCAAAAATAGTATCTTCTTAACATTTGTATCAGATGCTGCTGTTGGAGGAATTGGATTTAACTTCACGTATTATAGTATCGATCCTAAAGGTAGGAAATATCCCCCCCCCCCCAATAATAAAGTAGGACTTATGCCACTGTGTAGCACTAACAAGGAGATCCCATTTTTGATCCTGGACTTGGCCGAGAAAGTTCATCGCTATTTTCCGGTTTAGTTTTTTCTAGTCTTTGGGGAAGGAAGGAATTCGCTCTGCTGGTCATTATTAATTTCGCCCCTATAATATAATACTAATACTATTGTATTTTGTGGCGGGGTGTCAAGTGATTTATAATTTAGGATGTGGATTTTTTAATCATTTATTACTTAATATATTATTTATAAACTATTTATTACATATAACTATTTATTATTTATAAATTATAGTATATATTACATATACTTTATTATTATAAAATATTTATTATTTATAAACTATTTATTACATATATATTATAGACAATTTAGAATTTATAATATATTACATATTTAAAAACTATATATTACTTATACCTTATTATTTATAAACTATTTATGATTTATAAACTATTTATTACATCATATGTATTATTTATAAACTATTTATTACATCATATGTATATTATAATTATACATAATGTATTTTGTTTACAGTACTATGTAAGAGTAATGAGTATACCTGTATGAATGGTTCATGTATATCATCAACTGCTGTATGTAATAATATTACAGATTGTACAGATAAATCAGATGAAATATTGTGTGGTAGGCAAATATATATAAATTATCTGTTTATCAAAGGTTTCGGGGATCGTGTTATAAACATGCAGTTGGATTGGAATTAAAAAATACGAGGTAATCTACATGTATTTGATAAAATTACAATACCAACGATATTGAAATTAAAGGACTTAATTGGAATTTCCTTCAACGAGAGCATATCTATTCAGAACAATCCTTTGAAAAAATTTGGTTGATCATTCCCGTGTTACATCTGATATAATTCACAGCGTTATATGAAACAGTAAAATCCGAAACTATTATAGCCTACTATACTTGTGGAAACATCCTTTGTATGCTACACATTCCCATTTAAACAGTATATATAATGTCGGGTAGCATCTGTATTTGAGAAGCCAAAACTGTTTTAATATGAAAAGCCCCAACTGTTTAATTCGAAAAGCCCAAACTGCTTAAAGATACATTATGTAAGATTTAGATAAAGAACTAGCCATTCTTGCTATAATAGTTCAAAAGTAGATGATGTAAAAAGAATAATATGAAAATTTCATTCAAATTACTCTATTGCAAGCGAAGATATTAGCCTTTGAAGGTTTAACAGACGTGTGCTAAAATTTCAACCACCGTACTGGTTGATCGAAGCTAAGTCTCGGTCCTCCATATTTGATTAAATCAAAGTATCGCTGAACCATTCTAATCTATTTAATATCGGAGAAATCTGATGCCATCGAGAGTTGATTAAGGCCTGGATCAGTTAATTAATGTCTAATTAATACTTTAGAAAACATTTCAGGCCTAAAGAAAGACCTGCAATAGGCAGATTTAGCTCTTGCATAATGCATGTTTAATTTGAAAACCCAATTTTACTTTTTTGTAGATGCAGATAAAATCTGTGGTAAACCAACTATATCACCTAGTTTAGAGGGGCGGAGAATAGTAGGCGGTGAAGAAGCAGTAAGGGGTAGCTGGCCTTGGCAAACATCAGTTTTATACCAGTCAGACCATGTGTGTGGTGGAACACTGATTCATCCCTACTGGGTATTAACAGCAGCCCATTGTTTTGGGCGGTAAGTTTTCCTATATTAACAACAGTTCATTGTTTTGGCCGATAGGTTCTACGTGTATTAACATCAGCGCGTTGCTTGGTCGATAAATTTTACGGGTAAGTTCTATCCGCATTAATAACAGCTCGTTGTTTCGGATATGTTAAGGCCCGGCCCCACTGCACTTACGGATGTAAAGAGGATGTAAAACGGGAGAAAAAACGTGCCCTCCGTTTGAAAACGCCATGCATCCGCTGTGTACAGTGTACTCATTACATAGGTGTTTCATGCGCTCTATCCATCGAGCATCAATTCACTTTGATTTCATCCGCGCAAAAAGTTTTGAGCTGCACAAAACTTTTATAACGGATGAACTTTCTGTCGTGTACGATGTAAATGCGCGACATATACGAGCACCAAACGTTCCATGTCCTTTATCATCCGTTAAACGTCCACTGTATCCTCTCTGCATCCTCTGGGCATCCTCACATCCGCTCCAGCTGAAAACGGAAAGAGGGAGGAAAGATAAGGTACATGGAACGTCTATACATCGTTAGTAGCACGGAAATAGAAAGGATGTAAGCGCATGCATCTCGTATATAAAGTTTTCAAAACGGACAAAGCGTTTGTATCTGGGATGTATCTGGTATATTCAAGGATGTCTGGAGTTTGCCTAACCCCTTCGGAGCTGTCATCCACTTCCATCCGCTTTCATCCGCTAGGCTTCCGATGAACATCCAATTAACATCCCCGCTACATACTTTCCACGTTCGTTCTTTTCCGTTCTGTTTTCGCAAATTTTCGTCAATTTTGTCCATTTCTGGAGCGGATGAAAACGGATGGAGCCACCCCCGAAAGTTTGCTCGTCCGCTGTGTCCTTTTTGCATACGTTTTGTGTCCATCGGCCACTGGGACCGGGCCTTAAGATCTAACGTTTGGAAGGTAAGTTCTACCCGTTTTAACAACATTCAATGTCTTTTTGTGTGTGTGTGGGGGTGGGGTGGGGGGTTAAGTTCTACTTTTATTAACAGAAGCTCGTTGTTTTTGGCGAATATATCCCTAATTTGTCGTTATCTGTCTGGTAAAGATGCATGGGTTGAGTTGCCAGTATAAAAGAAATCTGTTAACTTATGTGAAATCTCAATTTTGCACATATTTTTTTTCTGATGGACGATTCACTTCAATCTATTTGATCGTTTCCATTATTCATCGTTTTGTCTTATGCTGTTGTATAATAGTTTGGTCCTTAAGACCATATTGTATCTTAAAAACTAATTATTGGTTCACACTGCCTATAGAGTCAAATCCCACGGACTGATGAAAGTGAATGATATTTTTATATATAAAAACAGTGATATTTTGGTAAAATCCTTATCATTGTCAAAATATCCATCAAATTCTATCTGTTTAGGACATGTGTTTGGTAGACCAAATAAGGTAATGCCCCCCCCCCCCCACACTTGGTCTTGGTAGAATGGGGATGTTTATTCCATATTTGGGAAGGAAATTAACGCCAAGGCGAGTCTCGGGCGTACAGAAATTAGAGGGTTATCAAAGAGGGTGTTGAGCAAAAATTATCAGAGCTCACCCGCAGATATTCCGAGCAGCTATCATCTATACTTTATTGAGAACGAGGGACCTTCGAAGCCAACTAGTTAACAATAAAGTTGTAGAAACCAGCTAACCTGTAGTTTTATTTACGATCACAAACGAAACACAACAAGGAAGTCCGATATTACTACTTATTATCAATTTAATTTTAAATATATTGTTTTCAGAAGTGACGTACCACGACAATGGACGGTAAAAGTTGGTAAACACGCTATACTTGTACCAGAACGCGAGGAACAGATAATATTGGTTGCAGATATTATAAAACATCCTGAATATGAATTGAGATCGTCGTATAGTGATGTAGCTCTAATTAAACTGTTAACTCCAGCTAATATTACAGACTGGGTTAACATACCATGTTTACCAATAGCTCCTGTTTATGTTGGTCAGAAGTGTTACATTACAGGATGGGGTGAAACTCAAGGTAGAGCATCTTCCTTTTGTGCTAAAATCATTTTTAAACATTTAAGAATTGATAAAGATAATTAGTACTATTAGTCGAACATGACAATACTCTTTAATATTTATGCAAGTCATCGGTATATTTTTATTGGTTTGTGTTTATATTTAACTGATACACTAAGCGTCGTAAGCGGACTCTGATCAAATTAAGACCAGGTTGTTTTTAAGTGTCGTTTTATTTACACTACAAGTTGTAGATATCAATAAAAAGAAAATAAAAAAATCAGTTTGATACCGTTAAGTTTGTGTTTTATGGGGTTTATTTTGTTTTTATTGGATATTACCGGTATAAAAACTAGAATATAGTACCGTCGACCCTGGTATTGCAATCAGATTCAAATATGAAAGGAAGGAACCAATGCAATTAAATGTTGAGGTTAATAACGTTGCCATCTGCTTTCCTCTGTTCCAGGTACTTGTTGTAACAATGTATTAAAACAAGCTATGGTACCAGTTTTAAATACCAGTATATGTAATAGTCAAGATTATTACCATGGTGACGTTCTAGATACTATGTTTTGTGCTGGTTATTTTAAAGGACAGGTTGATGCTTGTCATGTAAGTTCTATTCTCGTTTTAGCCGATCTATATCCCAAGTTCTAGAAGGTATAATTGCATCTTTGAACATTCTAGCCTTCGTCTCCGAAAGAAAGCGCTTAAATTAAGTACGTATGCGACTCACTTACATATTTCTGGCTCACTTTCGACATCTTCACCTAATCGCTGATAGATTTCTACTTTGGACGTTTCTTATTCAGATTTTCTCAAATAAAGTTTTCTTTTGTTTTTACATATTATAATACAGATGTAGAATGATAATTGGCGAACAATTGCATTTAGGAGGTCTAACTGTTTTATATATCGAGACAATTTTAATTATATACATATAATACAATGCTACTTTTAAACCCGGCCTTGATGTTGTCGTTGTTTATTACTACAATTTTAAAGTCCAATATATTATGATATTATGTACAGGTTAATTCAATTCAGTTATTTACATATGGAGGAGAAATAATAAAAAAAATAGTATATATAAAACACGTGTTAGAATTCATTGTCTTGAGAAGATCGAGCGGGTCATCGTCTCCCTTCGTCATAATAAATTAATTTGTCTTAATTGCGCGCTAATGCAAGAAATCCACGCCAATTTCATGACTGGCCGACTCTGAAATCAGTTCTGGCACTGTAATTGATTATATTTGATCGTTTTTATGTTTTAGGGTGATTCGGGAGGACCACTAGTATGTCAGTATTCTGCTGGTCAGTGGTATATACAAGGTATTATATCATGGGGTATAGGCTGTGCTGGTCAGTATTTTAATTTAGTACGTTCTTATCATGCTTAATTAATGCGAAATTTTGCTATGGTATCTTGCTTAAATGTGTGTAAATTTAGCGACCAAATATAAATAGGTGTGCAGCAAATTAAGAAAGATTTAAGTAGAAATTAAGAAAAATTCACTTGGATAACGTGCCAAATTCCCTATAAGTACAATGTTTACGTTAAATATTAAAATCAGGGTATATTATCTGCAGACTGGCTAATTAAAGAAATAGTCCGTTGTTACTGATTAATCAAAGTCTAGGAGGTGCTTTCCTGCTTTTAAAGCGTTAGTAAGTTTGGCTTAATCTTGATATAACCCCCCCCCCCCCACAAACACACACACACCAAAAAGCCGACATTACGCCCCAAGGACGAACGATGTTATAATAGAGATATATACACATAGATTTAGAACAATACGGGTTTCCCCGAGTTTTATATTTAATTAACCAGTGTGACGAAGACTGCTAGTTTCCCCGAGTTTTATATTTAATTAACCAATGTGACGAAGACTGCTGGTTTATGGAACACAACGTGAAGCCAGAATGTTAAAGTCCAAAGAAATGTCCGTACTGACATTCCAAGCACGATGACTGTAATTCCCAATCAAACTTTGGAATAATAACTACGGGGTCATAGTGGTTGAAACAAGGGACAGCTTCTGGTTAGGATCATCGTATCTACTTGCTTAACAACCTCAAAGCAGCTGATCTTTTGTACTTGTATCGGGTGGATCTCCTACTATTATCCATCTCTTTACATCTTAGGAAAGACGTTATCACCCTGTTTAGTAGTTTATGGGAGTAGATACCTATTGTAAATGTGGGATCACGTGGCTAAGTGGGTAAGACGCTGGCTCGCTAGCCTGGAGGTCCGGTGTTCGATCCCTGCATTGGCCGAGAAAGTTCATCCCGATTTTCCGGAGTGGTTTCCCCTTGTCAGTGATGCAGGACGAAGGGCCTGACAAGGACAGCTGTCTAGTCGTTCGGATGGGACGAAAAACCGAGGTCCCGTGTACACATTGGCGTGCACGTAAAAGATCCCTTGGCAGTTGGGATTCGATATAAGAGTAGGCCGTAGAGCCGCTGCCCGGGCAAAATTTCCCTCATAGCACACTGTATGGCGTATGCCCGTCTTTATTAGCCCAGGTTAGGAGCAGAACAGTAGGACGTTCATTTCTATCGTAAATGTTGAAGTCGTGGTCCAAAATTATCCATACATGCAATACATTTATGAAATATACTTTAACCATTTTTATTTCAGATGCGAAAAAACCAGGAATATACACAAAAGTTTATAAATTTTTGCCATGGATACAAGATATCGTCTACCAAAGACCACAATTCCATACACATTCTAAAAATCCATGATTTATATATTTGAATAAAGATAAATAGTACCATTGGACCAGTATTGCGTCTTAATGAAAAAATACCGATATAAATAAAATGTTTACACTAGTTTGTGGGAAGTTATTCTGCACGCAGTCGGACAGGCGCGTTTTAGTAACAAATAATTAGGAGGATTTTTGGAAAAAATATTGGGAGTTGATCGTAAAACATTTACATACTATTAAAGATGTCATATGCAAGAGCACATAAGAAGAGTGCGATTTGAATGAATGTGTTTTTGATGTTTTTTTAATTTAAAGGTAGACCAGGAATGAGGAAGATAATATAAGTTGTATATAACCAACCAGATTGTGCTACACTATCAGAGTGTAGTTAATAGATACCACAGAGGCCTGCTTGGACCTCTTAAGGTGGGTAGGCAGACCAAAATTTGGGCACTTTAGGGGCGGGGATGCCCCCTCCCCCGACTCCCTAGAAATTTGTCGTTATGTGGCACATTTTAGAGTCAATTTGACGTATATCTGGCTTAATTTTGTAACTTAACTGAAAATCAGGAAATGGCTTCCGTTAAAGATGCATTATGTAAGATTTAGATAAAGAACTGGCCATTTTCGCTATAATATAGTTTACAGAAAGATAATAGAAAATGAATATATTCAACATTTCACTAAAATTACTTTATTCTGGGCTAAGTCTCGATTGTCATTGCTACAATAATAAACGCAGTCACCCGATGGCCTAGATAGTTGATTATGGATATTCCATGTAAATAAACAGGCAGAATTAGCTCTTACATAATGCATCTTTATGATTCTGTTCGCTAATGAGGGACGAGTAGTACTTTTAAATTAGTCAACCACAAGAACAAGACGAAGATCAAGACTTAGACACAGAACTCGGTTTACCAGCAGCGTTGTCTGGTTCCCTATCCCACCGAGTCAACCAACAATAAGAGTGTACTTACAAGAGTGTACGTACATTGAGCGCGATTTGTTTTTTTATACTGCTGAATCCGGTTGAAAAGGCAGCAGGAAAGGAGGGCACAATATTGTAATTAGGGCAATGAGAATATGATGACATTGACACGGATTTTTCCTTGGATATTTCAGCATAACTTTCGATATTCGAGGGTACCCTGGTGGGAAATATCGAAATCGAGAGAGAGCTAATTCTGTCTATTGTAGGTCTTTTTCCTGGCTATATATATTATTCTTTAGACATTTATTCACATTTCATGCCCATAATCAGCTCTTGAGACAATCGGGTGAATTAGATGAGTGGATTAGACAATGTTCGTCATATCTTCTTTAAAACGTTAATATGGACGCCACTCGCGGATACTGCCGATTGAAGGACTTAGTTTATTATTGTTGCAATGATACTTGACAATCGAGACTATTTCAAACATTCATAACTTCGCTCAGAATAAAATAATTTGACTGAAATTTTCAAAATCTTAATTATTTATTTCTGAACTACTATAGCAAGAACCCAGCTCTTTCTCTAAATCTGGTATAATGCATCTTGAAATAACCATACAAAGAATAAAGCTAATGTTATAAACAATAACAACATGTATTGGCTACAGCTTATCTGATATAGTGTCTATTATACTTACCGCATTTGAATAAAACAAAACTACCATTTACCTTTGCACATTTCTTTTTTTTAATTTCAAGTTTTTATGAATAAACATGAGATAGATACAAATGAATGTTAACAATTGAATATTAAATACCCTATTAATATACATAATCTCAACAAGATATATACAAATAACCACATTAATGAATAAACATAACAAAACTATATACAAGAGGAACTACATACAGATGTAGATGCCATTAAGAATTATCCATTTAAGAAATAAGACACAACCTCTTCTAGTCATTTATAACTATGGCGGGTAAGGTATCCACATTGTACTCCTTACTTTTGTTTTACTTTCGACATTTATTAATAGAACTTGGACCTAATAAATCAAATAATATAAAGATTTGGGGCATTTTTTTTCTTTTTGCTTATTATATATGTAAATAAAGTTGACACAGCAAAATGATCTACATCATTCTGATTGAGTAACTTAAGGGATCAGATTTTCTTTAGATGTCTCTTATCATACAGGGTCTTTTAAATGACAAGCATCCCGAAAAAATCCAATAAAACAAGGTGCAGCTGAATTCTTTGATATCACAGTGGGATTCAGCAAATGTATGCTAATAGACTAGTGTAGATAAAATGTTTTTTTTGGTGAATTTATATCATATTTAAGAGGAATATTTACTTTAGATATTAAAATCATATCAGAGCTGTATAATATATGCATTACAATCTTTTTAAATAATATTATGCAATTAGTTCAAAATTTAATTGGTGTCTTTTTTTTTTCTCAAATTCCTTTAAAAGTTAAAAGCGAATTTATGTGGCAAGATCTTTCATCTTTATAAATTTTTTAAATAGTAATAAATGTAATGTATAAGTTAATTAAACAATAAACTACATACTACAGCTACCGCCATATTATAACTAAACACCACTTCTAGTCCTAAAATACTTAAACCTAATTATTAGATTTTAGGCCATACAAAAAAGTTATTCTGGTTCACAAATAATCTTTGACAAAACTTTTTGTGTTTTTGTTTTATCCCAAACAACACTACTGTTCTAAATGACTTCTCATAAACAACACATTTCAAGGCACTACACTTAACTCGTCATGTTGTTTTTTTAAAATGTGTGATTATCCAGTCTTATTTATGATTGTCAATTACATTTATCAGGGTTGCATATTTGATAACTGAGACAACAGTACAATTCTGGTCTCATTCAATTTTTTTTATAGAGTTTCTTCCTGTAACCAGGGGAAATATTTATGTGCGGTCATTTATGAGACTGTTTTTATTTTTTATTTAAGTGATGCAGCTGCATTAGATAAACAGAATATACATTTTATATGGCCTTAGTTGTTCGAAATCATTTTCCATGACTTAAGAACAAAATTTATCTGGTAATTATCAACCGTATACCTATTATATAAGCAGCACCACAGTTTAATTTAGTCACCTTTAACAACCTGTTTCCACATGTTTTTATTTTTATCACAATAAATTTGAGACAATGGTTTTAGGAATGTTTGTTTTTAAACATTAAAGAAACTGTTCCATCATAATGCTCCAACTTTAGAACCACCTGGCTTTGATTCATTTCCCTTGGTACTTGCTGCTGATGAGAACATCTATAATGTAAATAAATAAAACATGAAATACAGCCATAAATATACTGAGCAAATTCGTATGAATACATATTTAAATTATTTCTTAATGTGAGGATTCTTTTTACTTTCTTTATCCTTTTTTCAGTTAAGGCAACATAATTTAAGATACCCACAAAAGAATTCTGAAGTTAATAAAATCATAGGTGTGGTTTTATTGGTAATTTTCAAATTTCCAGAACCAAAATTGATAACATATACTATAACTAAAAGCAATTTGTTATATCATCATTTAGCAGTGAAAGAAAGTGCAAATGTTGTATAATTTTTATTGAACTAATATTTTGAGAGTGAACACTCAATCCTAGTAATGATAATGAAAACATATGAACTTACAGATTTAAAAAACTGTGTCGTAAAAAAACTACTGGCCACTGATGTCATCTTTTGTTGAGAACCATATTTACATCTAACATAACCAAATATATTAGCCCCGTTCATTAAGATACCAACAATTATTGTCATCTAAAATACACATATATCATACATTATCTAAACTACACATATCATACATTAATATACCAATTATTACTATCATATCTTACATTAAAGGGGCATTAGATAAGATTAGATAAGAGCTGACAGTTCTCGCTATAATCGTTAAAGCAGTGATTGCCAAGCAAGATACGTCCACATTTTGCAAGAGATGGATAGAGAACAAGCTAAAAAAACCCACTCCAAAACAATTAGGGGCCTTAATCCAGTCTGAAATGCGTGAACATCGCAACCAACTAAGATCTTTGGGATATAAACATATACTTGTTGTTTATTTATGATTACATTGTCACTTTGTAAAGTGCCCCTGAACATGTTATATGAAAGGGCGCACTATAAATATGCTGTAATAATATAATAATAATATTTTATGTTTCATCAAAATCAGACAAAACTTGTGACCTCTAGAAGGTATACAACCTTCGTATTACATACACTTTTTACTTACAAGGAGTGGCCATTCTGTCGGGCAAAAATGGTGATATATTTAAATGTTTTGTTTACATCGGATGAAAATTGTTATTTCTAGAGAGCCCACAAGCTAAAAATGTGATTTTTGTACAATCAGGGGCCATGATCCAGGAAGTTATAGTCTGATATGCACAAATATCAAAGAGAACCGAGATCCTTTAGATATAAACACGTTTTGAGTATATCAACCCACATGAAAATGTGGGTGTATAAAAAGAGAATATGCTGAGAATTTCAGTGGAAGCAATCTGAACCAAGGTATAAGCGATTCAATTTTTGACTAGCTTTGATCGTCATTTCTACCATTGGTACAGTAATAAATAAAATCTGGATTATCCATTTTTATGGTTTTTTCATCCATCATAAAACGTATTCAAATCCACTAAATATTGCTGGTTAATGAAGGCATCGAGAGTTGATTATGGTCTTGATAAGTTAATTAGTGTCTAATTAATAATTTAGATAACATTAAAGGCCTAAAGAAAGACCTGCAATAGGAAGATGAATGATGACAGGACAAACCATATTTTTTAGAGAAAGATACTGGTAATATAAAAGTATATAAAATTTATACTTACAAACCATACTATACTGAATGAAAACATTCTTATAAACATAAATACAATCCAGATCATTTCTGTTATAATTAAAGCTAACCAAAATATTCTTGCTTCATCTGCTGATATTTTAGTCTGATTACTGCCCTGTAATATTCAAAATAACAGTTTACCTCCCTTCACAACATACTCCATATTTGTTGGTGCATTATGTGTACTATTTAATTACTATTATACAACATTTTTTGGGTGAATTTTTTTGTTTTTTGTTGTTTTTTTTTGGGGGGGGGGGGCATGATTCTTGCAGGTTACACAATAAGGTAAAAAATCAGGACTTTCAAGGATTTCAATTTGGTATTTTCAAGGAACTGTAAGACCACAGTATTACATTACAAGAATATTTTAATGTACAATCCCTTGATATAAGAGTAGGCTTTAGTGCCGCTGTCTGGGTAAAATTTTCCTCATAGCACACTGTATGGTGTATGTCTGTCTTCATTAGCCCAGTCAGAGCAAAATAGCAGGACGTTAAAAGCCATATCATTAAATTTTGAAAACAACAGTTCAAGGAACTGCTGCAGATTCGTAGGCTAATCACTTCAATCAGATAACATCAAAACGTAAACTCAGTCCTCGAAATTGGGACTTTCCTACTGAGGCACCAAAAATCAGAAAATGCTGTAACTTGGAAATCATAGACAAATGACCCTCACAATGATTCTCAGTGTCAAAATCTGGTTCTAATTATGTTTTGTGGTGCCTTCGCTCTTCAAGTAAATATATCTGGTGTTCTGTCAGGGGATTATTCAATGACTATTTACATTTATTAACTAACAGAAAGTGTTATTTTAAGCATTTTCAAAGAGATATGGCAAAATTTCATATATTTAAGCAATCTAAAGACCCGGTAAATATTTTTTTTTAATTCAAATATATTCAAGGAATTTCAAGGGCCATGGGAATCCTGATATACACCTGAAGCACTCATTAGTCATTTAAGCAGTTTGTGAGTTTGATTCCACACTTATACATTAGAATCAACATTTTTTATATAGTTTCATCCATCTGCAAAAGTATTTTATACACAATGAAATAAGGAGAAGTAAATCGGGTTTAACGCCCACTCACCACAAACTTGAGTTTAAATCATTAAAACTGCTTACCTTTCTAGATTCAAATACCCACTGGCTTTTTCCCTCATCATCAACATAATTCCACCATCTTAAACCAACTAAAAGTCGACCTGCAGAAAAAATACAATTAATCAATCTTTAATGTAAATATTAAATGTATTTATTGTCCCTTCTATAAGACATGACAAGAAGTAGGGTTGCCTGTCCAACCTCGTGGGTTTTCTCCGGGTCCTCCGGTTTCCTCCCACTGCTAAAGACTTCTACACACAAGCGAATTATTGAAATAAAATTAAACCATATGTTAGTCCCGAAATGATCTAGTATGTGTCAAGTGGACGTTAAACCCCATTTCTCTCTCTCTCTCCTCTTCTATAAGAGTTATTAATAACCAGAAATGGAAAGATACCTGCATAAGGGAAACAACTGCTGTTTTAAAGATTAATAAAATCTTGAGGATACTTGATTGAATGAATGTTCTGGCCCCCGAGTTCACAAAGCATTCTCAAACTTAAAGATACATTATGGGAGATAAGATAAAGAGATGGCAGTTCTCGCTATAATAGTTAAAAACTAGATAGTGTAACGGTAATTTGCTGAAAATTTCAGTCAAATTGATCCACTATGAGCCGAGAAAGAAGCGGGTGAAATTTTTGCATAGTCTCGGTCATCATTACTAAAATCATTAATATAAACAGCATTGTCTTGATTAACCACTTTTATTGATTTCATTATCAATAGCCGTTAGCGGCATATAGGAATCTAATCCAGCCAACATCGAAGGCTAGCCTTGACATCGAGAGTTTATTATGGTCTGGATAAGTTAATTAATGTCTAATTGATAATTTAGATAACATTTCAGGCCTAAAGAAAGACTTGTAATAAGCAGATTTTGCTCTTGCATAATGTATGTTTAAGTTGAAAATTTACTCAATTTTTAATCAATGTTTATGAGAAATATCTTTGTCCCAGAAACACGAAACTTCACACATAGTTTCTTATTGATGTATTTGATATATTAAAGCAACAAAAGTTTTATAAAGGGATATATTTTAGTTAAAATAAGGCGAACAATTTTCAGTAAATTCTTAGCTTAATTCTGAGAATGCTTTGTGAACTCGGGGCCTGGAGTTTAATTCTCTTAATCCTAGTAACAACAGTGACAATTGAAGTAAAATAGGGTCACAAAACATGTAGCAAGTATACATCCTTACACATGTTTTGAAATAAAATTAACTATGTCCTCAACCCTCTCTTGAGACTGTCTATTAAAGTAACTCCCCTTATCTTATACCTATTACTAAGAGGAGTGGGGGTTTACAGTGGGCAGGGTGGTTTAATACTCTATGTCATTTTGTAAATTGGATTCTTCAAATTACTCGTTTTGAGAGACAACGGCAAAATTTCCAACTGATCATTCATACATTGAGATCGTTGATAATTTGTTGAAATACCAAAATATGAGCTCATACAGATAACAACAGACTATCCGTACTATCGATTTCCAAGGTGCTAATTATAAAAATATTAGAAATACAAATGTACATGTAGTTATTAACCAACCTGTAATATTTTTGACTGTCCAAAAATCCATTGAAAGTAAAACAATTATAATAATAAAGCTAGTAATTTCACTGTTGCTGAACCAACTACAAAACAGATAGGTTAATAGTGAGGCTATACGGAAGAATAGGTGGAAAAATACTGCTACCGGATGCCTGTCAAAATAAAAGGGAAAAAACAATTAACTAACTCACTTTCACTGGGATAACTTTAGTAGAATTATTCAATCTGAATATTACCTGGGTATGTACACCACAAGTTCTTATTTCATGGATACTTGCATTCCTTAGAGAGAGAGAGAGAAATGGGGTTTAACGTCCACTCGACACAAACTAGGTCATTTCGGGACTAACATGGTTTAATTTTATTTACATAATTCGCTTGCGCGTAGGGGTCTTTAGCAGTGGGAGGAAACCGGAGAACCCTGAGAAAACCCACGAGGTTGGACAGGCGACCCTACTCTTTGCCACGTACAACCAAGGATTCAAAACCTTGCCAGTCGACTCAATGACAGACTTTATGATACAGCGCGCGCACGCTACCATTCAGCCATCCAACCCCCCCTTGCATTCCTTAGACTCAGTCATGTAATGTTAAATATGGTAAAGTGTTTATTAATAATTTCTTAGTATTTCTAGCTTAATTACAGAAACTAACTAATGCCCGATTTGGACTGTTGCAAATAGTGAAATTTTCGTGCTCAAAATTGTCTGCAAACAACAATTTATAGGACCTGAGAAACAGGTTTGGGGTGAATGAATTTTGCACCAACACTAATGGCCAGCAAAGTCCAAATTTTACTGTGAGGCATGCATCACTCACAGAGACTTCTGATAAAAGGCTTGACAAACGAGACTTTATCATGGCAATGGTACTTGATAATCAAGAACACGAACTGTACATGGAGTTTGGTCTGCCAATGATCAGCATTTCGCTCTAATCATCAGAGACAATTAGGCTATTTAACTGTCAAAAATCAAAACATTGATTGATCACTCAGACTCAGTATGACTAAGCCTACATGTACAATGTATAAAGCATTGAGAGAATTATCATTACACCTGATAAAGAGACCATCGAGGTCTCATGCATTACATATGATAAAGAGACCATTCGTCCTATATTATAGTAATACCGTTGACCGTTTTCATCAAAAATCTGGATCAAACCATCTGATTATCAAGCCAGCGCTTTATCATTGAGCCACTTACTGCGGCTAGTTATATTTGTTAATAACAGCTACTTAACAAAATGACGAAAATTGTTATTATTATCATTATTTATGAGGTATACAGACAACTCATCCCAAGACAACTCATCTCATCCCAATATAAAAGACAACTCATCCCAATATAAAAGTCTACTCATCCCAACTTTAAAACATGGGTAGAGTTATAAGACAAGTTATAAGACAACTCATCCCAACAAATTTAAGTGCCTGTTTTAATACAATTGCTTTCTTTGAAGACCACTCAGACCAAAACCAATCTGATTTTGTTATCTTAAAGGGACAATAACACTCTTGCTGGCTTGACAGCTCCAGAAAATAAATAAGAGCCTTATTCTAAGTCCTAGATGTTTAAGTGTCCTACCGGTTGTGTAAATTATCCATTACATCCTATTTTACTTGTCCAGAGGGTTTGAAAATATTTTTAAATCCAAGTCACACTTGAAAAGCTTTACGTTAGGCTTTTCAAATCATTTAGTTGAATTTTTCCAATTTTTTAAATTAGGTGTGTTAAGATGAAATTTGTATCACCAATTAATTGGAATATTGTAAAATAGTACAATTTGTTGACCAGAATAAAGATTGGGACATATTATTCAGTTACAACAAGAGTGGTATTGAGCCTTTAATAAAATTGATATTGTTGTTTTAATCAAATTGATATTGTTGTTGTAATAAACTGATGATTACTGTTTGTATTACTGTTTTAGTACTTTGTTGTTTTAACAGATTGGTAGTTGTGTTTTGTTTTATTTTTTCATCATGAAGCACTTCAAAGAAAATTAATTAACAAAACATCGATTAACTAAACTGAGTAGTAGTATTTCAGTATCATTTTTCAAAATGTCTGATAGCTGTATAGTTTGTGAGTCAGTTGTTCGCCCAAGACCGGAGGCTGTTCAGTGCGACGGATTGGCAGCACAGAACTTGTAATACTGGTAAGACTTTAATGTTATTTTTTTAAATTCAACAATATTGTATTAAATTCAAAAATATTGGAATACATTTTGGACAACTGGATAACAACCCAAATTAAGATGGTATCAGATGGGAAATTACGAAGGCACCAGCAAAAACAGACAAGAACAACGCAATTCAAATTATTTCAACTGTGGCATTCATACACAGACCAGACTATTAGTACCAACCAGATACTAATGAGATGTGGGGGAATTTATGGACCTAACTGAAGGACAAACTTACTAAATGGCTAACCTACTGAACGACATACTGACAGAAGAAAAAAACATATTTATAAAAATGTATTAGTTGATCATGATATAAGCAAATTTCAAGTCTCTACGACCACGGCAAGTACTACTGTCTGATTCATCGTAAATTTTAAACGGATTTCTTCGATTATGAACAAACTACTTAACTTTGGTTATTATAAACTTACCTGTGTGTTTGTAATGAACTCCCGTTCGATAAAATCCATTGCACAACTAATTATCACAACGATGAGAACAATTTCTCTCTTGAAAAATTTGAAAATTTACTTGTAATTTCGACTGAGTCGATGTCAACAATGTCTTCGTGACGTAATGGTCGAATCCAATAAACCTGTTGCGGGGGTTGGTTAACATTGAAAGATAGTTTGACAGCGCGATCATTTTGATCGTATATGGGTTTGGGCGACGAAAAATATCAATTGAAGGCAATTACATAGGAGATTTATATGGAAACCATTGATCGCCAGTCTATCAAATTTTCTTCACAATTAAAATATCACTGATTGCACGGATACTCGTAAAAATAAAGTCATGAATAAACTATAAATATCCTATCTTCTTTATGTTATAAATAATTTAACAAGGATCATGAAGCTTACCTCCGAATTCTCTGAGTGTATTTTTAATTTTATACGCATTCTTTCGATCGAATAATAACCGCTTCAGTAACATCTTTAAGCGTGTTGCGGCAGCCCTCAGCGTGTCTATTGCCGTATTGGGTGCCCGGGTGGGTATATAATGCTACTAAGCCTGTATGACCCCGTAAGAAGCGGAACATTAATTCTCGATTCGACAGTTTTGACCGAAGTGTGATAAAGCCCGTAAAACGAATGTATAGTTGTGTTTGTGCGGCATGCGTGTTCAAAAGTAAATAATCCCATCCGAGTCGCTAATCAAATAATTAGAACAAAATATTTCAAAAAGTAAAGCTATAAAATTTGCAGAGATTTTACTAGAATGTAAAAGACGGTAACTAAATACAGGAATGCGGGTAGTTATGTGTGCGAACGCTCAAACTCAATGCCAATTGTCGTAGGTATCCAGACCACTCGGACCAAAGACTACTCGGACTAAGACCAGTCGGACCAAAACAAGACCAGTCGGACCAATTAAATTATATTATAAGGCTAGACAATATGCTATTTATTTATTATTAAATCACAATACAAAGAAGCAAATAATTCTTATACGGAATTCTTATATTTAGAGTTGTTTGGTTCAATTTTGTGTACGGAAAATAAATCAACGATTAGTTTTAAAATTAATTAATAATGGTGCCAAAAAAAAATATCAATCTAATTTTTCTTTACTCTTGCAATGAGACTCGGTATGTCCAGACTTTTGACAATTTCTACATATACGGGTATACTGTTCTTGTCTGATAGCCTAATTTTACTTTTTCCACATTCGCGGTATCCCCAGTGGTTTCATTCCGTTCTACCTCACTAATCCCTGGGTTACTATATATGGGGGGTGGGGGGTGAAGACACGTTTTCAAGTTATCCGCCCTTGATGCGTTAATATAAACAGCACATAATAATACGAAGACCGGACGTTTATATGCCCCTTTTTAAACGTGACTACAAGTGTGGTTCTCGATATTTTGCGATCTGGAATACAATTATCAATTTATTCAAACAACACGTTATTATTAGTTCGAGTAGTCATATTAAAACACACACAATTATCAATTTATTAAAATAACACTTTATTATTGGTTCGAGTAGTCATATTAAAATAAACACAGTTATCAATTTATTAAAATAACACTTTATTATTGGTTCGAGTAATTATATTAAAACAAACGCAATTATCAATTTATTAAAACAACGTTTTATTATTGGTCCGAGTGGTCTTTCTGTTGGGTCCGAATAGTCTTTTTGTATGGTCCGAGTAGTCTATTTGTTTGGGCTGAGTGGTCTATCAGTTGGTCCGACTGGTCTTGAACCGAGTGGTCTTTGGTCCGAGTGGTCATGGATTCTTGTCGTAATTGTACTTGAATTTCCTATGCTGTCACCCCTAATACGAAATGATATCTTCCGCAGAGTGACGTAACCATCTTCCATATTGGTATTTTTCTCTGGGAAAAGTTTGTGATATTTCAATTTTTCAAGAGAGAACTTGTTTTCATCGTTGTGATAATTAGTTGTGCAATGGATTTTATCGAACGGGAGTTCATTACAAACACACAGGTAAGTTTATAATAACCAACGTTAAGTAGTTTGTTCATAATCGAAGAAATCCGTTTAAAATTTACTATGAATCAGACAGTAGGTGTACGAAAGTGCATTAGCGCTAATCTAGTTTTGACAGCTTTTTCTCTAAATCTCGGGTAATATTTTACAAAATTCTTCAATTTATAAATCGGAATTCTCAGACAGTAAAAACAGTTAAAAAAGTAAAACAGTCAGACTCACTTCAACCTTTTACGTCTATCAATTTCGTCTTCTTCTCCAAAATTCAAGGTAACGTCATTAGATTCTTCCATAATCTATAAAGGATCAAATCAACTGTATTTTTTACAATCTTTTTCAAATATTTGACATTCAATCATGAAAAAAAAACATTAATATTTTTACTTACTGAACTGGAATCTGCCATGTTGGATGTTGGAAACGTCAGCCGGAAGTGGAATTTCTTTCTATTTTTAGATATAGACAACGTCAGCAATGACGTGTCTAGGAAAGGATCCCCCTTCCTGTTGCCTACTTCCACTTTTGTTTTAGAGAAACGTGTTTTAGGTCGAAGTTATTAAAAATGGGCAAACTCCTCGTTATTGCATGCGGGGCTGTATCTGCTGTTATCACGACAGAACTGATTTATCAATGCTTCATTTGGCAAAGGGGGAAGAGAAAACAGAGGAAACTGAAACACGAAGAAGAAGGGATGATAACCGAAGTTTTATTCTTTCCTGATAAAGAAGTTGCGTGTAAAAATCACTTTATTAGTGACCGAGGTTGTTTTAATAGGAAGTGTAGATTTTCACATGCTAAAACATCATTAAGTGAACTATATAGACATTTGAATACAGCAGAAAAAAGTTTAGACGTCAGTATATTTTGTTTTACTTGTTTTGATTTAGCAGAAATTTTGATTATGAAACACAAACGTGGCGTGAAAATTCGGATAATAACAGATGATGATATGCAGGCGGATTCGTCAGGTGCTCAAATTTTGAATCTTAGAAAAGAAGGTAAGCATTGTAATAGAACAACAACAAATTGTCTAGATAAGAGAATCTGTTCATCATTGAAAAGTTGGTTGGTGGTCTGATGGCGCAGCTTTTCGAAATAATTATGTCGAATTTTTCTCAGATTAGAATGGATGGACGGATCATGTGGTTATAGCAAGAACTTTATCGAAATTCAAAATATTCAGGTGGCAAATACTAGTATATCAGTTATGAAATGAATTTTATAAAACATGACTGGATTGTTCATTATGATATGAAGTGCAACTCGATCAAAATCAAGAATATTTCGATCTATACTAACAGAGTTGTCGTGTTTAAGTTTTAAAATCGTTTGACTTTTGAAGCTTGCGAAAGAATTGTTTCCTGTACATAAGAATAACAACAAACAAGTACTTATGGACACACAAATGATTTTGTATTATGTTTAAATTAAATTTTAGCACCGAAGGAGATGCAATTGGACACAGATCACCAAATATTCCTACGCTGTCACCCACGAAACAAGGGCCAAAGCTATTTTTAGTCTTCCTCTCCCTTTTTCCCCCTTTTGCTTGGCGATTTTTGTTGACTTTTTGGTGTAGAATCGAGGAAAAGGGTTTGAAAATACATTTTCTGCCAGGTTTTGGTGAATATTCATAATTTTGATGCGGAAGGATACAAGAGTTGAGAGGTTGGTTAGGTTGAAATGTAGGGCCTGAAATTGCATGTTTACATGTCTCTACTTCCATCTTGTGTATCTCAAGTTTTTCATGAAGAACCTCATACGTGCTTTTGGGCAAGTGGTTGCCACATGTTGCTCCATCTGTGGTAGAAAGCGTTCTAAGTACCCAACGAAAATTTGGGAAAAAGTTAGAGCCGGTCTAAGATATGAGAATTAACATTGGAGTCAATGGGGAAATCTTTAGTGATCTGTGGCCTGTCTGTGTGTGATAAAGCTGTCACTGATATGCCTTAGTTTTGAAAATATGAAGATTAAATTCTCAGAAAATATGAATAAAATAGTTTGGCTACAGAAAAACTAAAAAAAGGTTAATTAAAAAAAAAAAATCAAAGTTTTGAAGAAAAATTGTGATTTTACTGCAAATTTCTCAATTTTCAATTTTTATTGAATTTTTAACAGTAAGTAAAATATTCTAATGCCCAATGTTGGCTTATTCAGTCTCAGAAAGCACAGATAAAATGAACAGTATTGAAATTTCACCAAATTTTGTCTAAAAATCAGGAATATTCACAAAAAATCTTGAGATTCCCCCCATTTCGATGTAGAAATTAATATGTTCATGACTACTAAAATGAGTCAAAATGTCTAAAAATGCCCATATTTTCTTTGCTAATATAACTTCGATGGGATCTACATGTTTGTCAGGTTAGAAATAGCTCCAGCTTTCCTACAGAAAATTGAAAATTGGTAACACTGAGTTAATAATGTACAGCAGATGGGTTTGTACAAAATGTTCAAAACAGGGGTTGGCTCAATTTTGCCACTATTTTACCCAGAATAAGCATTTTTTTCTTCTTTGAAACATTACATTCTTGCATTTCCTTCATGTAGGAAGCAATATCCCAGCCTTTCTAGACATTTTTTACTCCATCATTCTGTTTAGAGACAATAAATGCCCCACCCCACCCTTTTCTATTAATGTGTTTTGAGGGATTTAAATGCACCTGTGTTGACATTTAAATGATCTTAATTGGAATTTGTGGTTGAATTACAGCTAAGAATGTTATTTTTCACCCAAAAATATTTTTTTTGTGCATTTCAAGGATTTCTAACCCTTATTTGTTCAGAGTCAAACGTAGAACCCTGAGGCATTTCAGGCCAATGAGACCACACCCAGATATAAAACTGGTGTAGATGTCAGTTTAATGTTCAATATTTTCTTATCAAAATCCAGCATTTGTGGTGTTTGCTGCATTTATGTTGCCTATAGAACAACAAAATGTTAATTTTTCTCCTTTTCAGGCCTCTTTTTATGTTGTCAACTCTGTCATGACTACTTTTTTGACTTCATTTTTTCAGGAAATTAATGTAAAGTTCCAGACATCTTGCTTCAGCACAAGGATTGCAATACAAATTTGTAACATGCCTCTGAGGTTTGAGATGTTGGAAACATTGAAATATTCCCAAATTTGTGAAAATTGTGTATTCTGTGACCCTTCTGTTAGAGAGGGGTGATCATAGACCAAATATGGCATTTTTTTCATTCATCAATGCCTATTTTTAACCATAATTCATATTTATTGCACCTATTTTAGTTTATATGTGCATGTGTTAGCCCAATCTGTTTTACAGACCTAATGCGACATCCGTCTTTTATCTCTGTCCAAGATGACTGACCTTTAAAAGGTCAGACCGCTGTAGTTCTAAGGGTGACGTCACATCACAATGTTTACCAACAAAGCAAGATGGCATCGATAACGCCAAAAAAGATTACTTCTGCGGCTTGTTTTTGTTGTTTTAAAACAAACACGAGCAGGTCAATCAGATTAGACGGTAAAAAATGTACTTCTGAAAGAATTCAGAGTAAACAAACAGAAAAAAACGTTAAATTGATGGTCACACGTGCGTTGTTTACATTGAACGTAGTAATATGAACTGGTACGGGCAAAATTATATCGTTTTACCCATTTTACGCCTCCGCGTACTATTTTCTGTACCTATTTACGCTAAATATGGAATATTTTTTATCAAGATATACTTCAAACACCTTTATTTATTTTTCTAATACTAAAAAAAAATGTTTCAGAATTTAATTTGTCGAAAGAAAAAAGTTAATATTTTGTAGTCATTAAGTCGCATCGATGTCCTCCTTATCAGTGATTGTAGCGGCCAAGCGAATATTCACTGCGGATCAGTGTGATGTTAGCCAGGGATGGTAAAACATAGCTGTTAGACAGATTCCTTTGGTAATGTTAGTTCTGCAACCATAGATTAGATTAATTCAATCAGTGGCATGTTCAGGGGGTAGGCATACATGTTTCAGTATAGATCTCTAATATTACAATCATTGCAACTGGTTTGCATTTTTTCTGTTTGCATATTGTCCACAGATTCTAAAAATATATTTCTTGTCCGTCCGGATATTTAAAAAAGTGGAAAATTATTGGTATTTTGAGAGATGCTACATGTAAATTTTGTACATTTTTCATCACATGGCAGTAAAAAATTATATTTTTGAAAAAAATTCCAAATTATGAGTGTTTTCTATGTAGTTTCTTTGTAACTTGTCTAATTTTTTCACAGAACTCAGATACTGCCTTTAATAAGAAAGATTTTTAAATTTTAGCACAAAAGGCCTATGGACCTGAGATGCACCAGTGTACATAAAGCAGCATGTGTACTTAAAGGGCCATCATTTTTACAGTTATTCTTTGATTTTGATTTTCTTTCACCGGCATGTTGCCAGAACACATGGGAAGGAAATAAAAAGGGCCTTTTGGTGATACCTGAAGTTTCACCCCTATATAGGACACAGATCACCAAATATTCCTACGCTGTCACCCACGAAACAAGGGCCAAAGCTATTTTTAGTCTTCCTCTCCCTTTTCCTTTTTCCCCCTTTTGCATGGCGATTTTTGTTGACTTTTTGGTGTAGAATCGAGGAAAAGGGTTTGAAAATACATTTTCTGCCAGGTTTTGGTGAATATTCATAATTTTGATGCGGAAGGATACAAGAGTTGAGAAGTTGGTTAGGTTGAAATGTAGGGCCTGAAATTGCATGTTTACTTGTCTCTACTTCCAGCTTGTGTATCTCAAGTTTTTCATGAAGAACCTCATACATGCTTTTGGTCAAGTGGTTGCCACTTGTTGCTCCATCTGTGGTAGAAAGCGTTCTACCCAACGAAAATTTGGGAAAAAGTTAGAGCCGGTCTAAGATACGAGAATTAACATTGGAGTCAATGGGGAAATCTTTAGTGATCTGTGGCCAATTATTATATACGTCCATTTTGGAGTTTTGTCCCTTTGATTGAATACTGTACAATAATGAGGATGCCCAAGTTAATGTAAATCTTTACATAGTGACCGTAGAAAACGGGTAGTTGGGCTGACAATGTGTTCTCGCTGTATTTGTAATGACCTCTCTCCCAAATTCAGGCAAACTGTGAGGAAAATTTGCCCAAAGACAGACCAAAAAATCGGATAAAGAAAGCAAAAGAATTGAACACTATCTCAATTGTTAAAGAAAGACTTTTTGTGTTTTAATCTGTGTAAAACTTTCAGGTAAATCTATACCTCTGCCCCCTTAACCATAGATTCTTCATTAGCCTGTGCTTACCTTGTTTTCCAAACCTATTTTTAGACTTTTATTTCTCTAAAGCAGATTCTTAAAAATTTCTTACTTTTGTATTGTAGGTATAGCAGTACGTACTAATAGATCATCATATCTGATGCATCATAAATTTGTTATAGTTGATTCGAGATTACTTATTAATGGATCGTTTAACTGGACACGCCAAGCCATCACTGGAAATCAGGAAAATCTCCTTATAACTAACGATTCATATGTTGTAAATGAGTTTAGAAATGAATTCGAAAAATTGTGGCATGAGTTTGACCCGAAGAACTATACAGAATCGGGGTAAAAGGAAACAAGAAATGAAGTCTTCCGGTTAAAACTCTGGGAGAATAAGTATTGTATGATGCAAAAGAAAAACAATGCCCACTCATTGTATTGTCGTTGTATATATTTGACATTTGTATTATAAACTACAAACTGGGTTGATAACAAACTTTCATAGTGACCATGCGTAACTTTCACTCATCACCTAAACTCATCGTTTGTTAGTTACCTTTCATTGGTTTTATCCTTGTCACGTATATATTCTCAACATTTTCGTCTGATTTTATTAAAGTTTAGCAAGAGATATCCCTTGAGTAATTGTTTTAAGTCCAATTCTCGGAGTAAATCACCTTGACTAGAAGGCTAATATGCACCAAAAATAGCCCGTGAATACATTTCTAGGTCTTATGGTAATGACATTTGGTGTGGGGGCTTCATATCTATGAAGTGGCCCAGTGGCTCGCTAACCCGGAGGTCCGTTGTGGAATTTCATCGTTTTTTTCCCCAGCGTTGTCATTTTTATTCGTCCTGGAAGGAGGGCCTACCATGGGACGAAAAACTGACGTCCCGTGTATTGGTGTTTTTATTAAATATAGAATGAATAAAAACAAGGGAATGTACGGGTTATTTCTATTTTTCTCGTTTTCTCTTATCTAGTGACATTTTATTATTTTTTTTAATGGCAGATATCCTCTCACAGTCATACATGATAAATTTTCCTGTTATTCGGTATTATCGGTGAACAGATATTCGCCCGTGTATCTGTTATCGCTCGTACTTCAGTGAGTTATATAGAAGGATAACTCTTTTTTCCATTTGTTGCATCACTTCCGTTTCTTCAAATTTTCGTTAGCATCTATCGTAGCAATGATCTCTGTTAAAATTATATTGTCGAAACACGTACTACTACTAATAACAAAACGTTTGGTCTTGAAGTATAACTTCCTTTTTTTATTAAGAGTTCAAAATAACAAGTTTTTCCACTTGATTGTTGGTGTGACAAGACGTACCGAACACGCCAGTACTCCTTCGGGGTTCTAGTTTCATTTCATTTCATAATAATAAGATTTCGACTGAGTATGAATGTAAAGATTCGTTCTTGTTCAGACTGTTCATGCGAATTAGTATATGTCTTCATAATATCTATAAGAATTCCCAATATCTATAAGAATTCGACCGAATTATGTTTAACAATTTGTCAAAGTATTGTCCTTGTTCCGAATTTTTTATCAGAATTTGACAAAGTTTGACATCTGACATTCTATGAGATGAAACGGATAAGTATGAAACACAAATAGTAAGAAAGAGAATTAAGGAGCATACATGTATTCTTTAATAGGAAATATGATGAAACTAGTAATTGTGTCAAAATGAACATTTCGAATTTGAACTTTTATTTTTATATTTCATATATTAATACATGTCTTACACTTAAAGATGGGTTCCCGCGTACAAACTGGGTGATTTAATGGTATATATGGACTAAAAACATATTCAAACTAATTAATTTGTCATAACTTTGCTTCAAATCCTTCTCAAACATTGTAATTGCGAAGGAATGTCCTGCTATAAAAATTCGATCATACCAGGTCATGTTTACGTCACGTGACTTACCTCTCTTGGAAGTCAGAGGAGAATTCATTGCGTACATAAGACGATGTTGTCTTTAATCGCTAACTATTTATTACAAATATCAAATCCTGATTAAATTCTCGGATTATCCACTACCCGCGTCTTTTTTCGTCATTTTTATCTCAGAAAGCGTTGTACGCCTAACTCTTCATAAAGTTTATCAACTTGTACATCAAGCGCTCAATGTTCGCGTGTGACCTTTGACATCACGCGTGCAGAAATTCCTAATCGTCGGGCTGTTGATTAGGGGAACCCTTACATTTTTGTCCTGTATACGCTCCATGAGTGTTTTTCGGGGAATCCAGTATTTTTCTAGTAAGATTGGATATCTCTACTTTCCATATATACCAAAATTACCATACTTTTATTGGAAATAACCACCCGATAAATACTCTCCTGGGAACCCATCTTTAATTCGAACGATAAATGATCCATCACAAAACATATTCATATCCACTAAATATCGCAAGCTAACGATGGCATCGAGATTTGATTATGGTCTTGATAAGTTAATTAATGTCTAATTAATAATTCTTAAGTCAGAGAATTCTTTGTGAACTCGGGGCCTGGAACACGACACCTATCATAGGTGTTCCGTGCATACCTCATATTCAAACAACGATAAAGCACGTAATTTGATGGATTGGGGAATCCCTTGTAAACTACAATATTGTGGAAATTGAATCCCAGAAAATGAATATCAGTTCAAAAATGTAAAGTTCTGTTCAGTATTTGAAAATTCGTCAACATTTGATATGCAGTTGTTAAGAACGGAATATAGACGCAAGCCAGCGCCACCGGTCTTTTCTAAATTCTTTTGGTAGGCCTCTTTTTCAACCGATTGAATCCAAGTCGGAAGATTGTCTATTGTTGATAGTTTGATTTTGTTTTCTTAATTAAAGGTTAATAAACAATTAGAGTAGAGTTTTGCATGGATTAAGCCGAGGAAAATTGGATAGTTTCCGCAAATCACGCCCAGTGATCTTATTTTTCAATCTTCTAAACAAGAGTAAGATTATAAATGACAGTATTAAATGCAGAGAATATAGAAGGGTATTCATCTGGTTGAGTTGACAGATTCTGAAACACCTATCTGTTATGATTAGTATGATTTCAGTATGTGTGTAACTAATGAGCACGTATCAGCTTTCAGAAATGCTTTGGGGGTCACGGTGGCTAAGTGGCCAGTAAGACGCGGCTCGCTAGCCTGGAGGTTGGTGTTCGATCCCTACGTTGGCCGAGAAAGTTCATCCAAATTTTCCGGCGTGGTTCCCCCTTGTCAGTGATGCAGGATGGAGGGCCTGGCAAGGACAACTGTCTAGTCGTTCTGATGGGACGAAAAACCGAAGTCCCATGTACACATACGCGTGCACGTAAAAGATCCCTTGACAGTTGGAATTCGATATAAGAGTAGGCCGTAGTGCCGCTGTCCGGGCAAAATTTCCCTCATAGCACACTGTATGGCGTATGCCCGTCTTCATTAGTCCAGTTCGGAGCAGAACAGAAGGACGTTAAACCCCATTTCATTTCATTTTATAAATGCTTTAGGTATTTTTCAGACTTATAATCTTTTATTTATGTTTTTTTCATTCTTATGAATTTTCCCCGTTATTTATATCAGACCTTACAGTCAGCATAGAGTACTAGTTATTTAAATTTAGTGCTAATATATAATAATAATAACCATTTTCTAGAGCGCTGAACATTCATCCAGACTGCTCTGTGGTTCTTTAATTCGTCTTTAATGCAAATAGTACATACGGTCCAGAGCCGGATTTACCTACTCATCGGTTTACCAAGTGTACACTTGAAACAAGGTTATAAGTTTCCACGCTGTACGCGACAAATTAGCTTCCGTAGGCCCAATGCCAACGACCTATACAATGCCTATTGGTAAATCCGACCCTGTGTGTTTGATTGAATTGCACATGGGAAGGAATGTCGCATCATTAACTATACTAAGGTAATGCATGTAATCATTGGAAAACTATGGCAGCCTAGGGTGCAATAGAAAACTCAGCTTGTGTCAAAAACAGTAGATGATGTCAGTGTCGGGTGTAGCAACAGCCATCCTTGATAGTTTCCTCAACACACATTTGGATTGACTGAACGAGAGTCTGTTCCATTCCTGAATTACAGGTTGTCCAATTCAGCTAAGTCTTCCACGGTATTACAAACCTTACGCACTAGAAAGACCCAGATAGCAGTGCGTGTAAATGCAATTGGCCATTACTCCGTACAAGGGTCACACCCTCTAATTGTCGCAATGCACACATCTCGCACACATGTCCATAGAAATTAATATCACCAAAGTGTCACCCATTCCATTCTATTGTATATTAGACCTCCACCTCCCACAGAGTTTGAAAGAGTCTGATTTATTTGATGTCTATGAAACAGTAAGGACAATTAGTTATAGTGATAACTGTATTATGATAATGTATTTTTTAAACACAACAATCAATATATATATGTAATATAATGTATAATCACAATGAAAATGGTAGATGAAATATAACTTAATACAGTGCACCCTGTCTAAAACGGACACCACTGTCAGAACACCTCGTTTAACATATCTACGTCAGGTCTATTATTAAATGCATGTCCATTATTGCTGATAAAGCTGTCAATATAAATTACTTGCGATCGCATAAAAATCGCCAAAGAATTTGCGAAATCTGACAATTTGCGAAAATATGTCTAGTTATTTATAGAAACAGGGTGCAGGGTATATTATATTAATCTATGAAGACAATAAATTATAACCGGTATGCTAATCCATCAATGATCTACACTAATTTCAAGGCATCTGATAACATGGTTTACAGATCTATCATATATAGGCACAGATTATACAGAATTCACCAGTTTTTGTACATTCTCACCAATTGTAATTTCCATATTTATAAATAATGTTTTGAAGCATAAAAGTAAAGAATATACCCCCACTCTATTGTGGACTTATCTTATAAGAAGACATCTTGTGTAATGTTTTGAGACCATTCTCTAGTTGAAACGGTTTTATATACAGGGTGCCCCCCCCCCCCAAAAAAAAAAAAAATAAATAAAAAAAAACAAACAAAAAAAAAAGAATAAAAAAACCAAAAACAAAACAGAACCCATAAAAATTTGCGCTACGCATGCAAGTTTGCCTCCAACGCCGTGGAGGTCATTTGGAACATATTTTGGAAAGAACATGACTTTTATGCAAAGCCACCAAGATAACTGAAACTTTGGGAAATGACGGTACAGAGACTGAAGTTTAAGTCCAGCAAATTTGCTGAAATTTGCTGGACCTTTGTAGGATTTAATAAAAATTTTATGGGTTCTGTTTTTTTTCTTTGGTTACCCTGTATTAAAAGGTTGCCATCCCATCAGCTACTGGTATTGTCTTTATGAGCATAAAAGTCATCATAAGCACTATGTTATCACAAGATTAGGGTGGTATATAGACTTAAAACCCGTAAATATGGTGGCGCCCTACAAAAAGAGTCAACCATATTATTATTATTATCCATAACAAGAAAAATTTCTATCCCGTTACGTTTCAATAACACGTAATTCAAAGTCTACAGAACAACGCCTTCCAATTTTATCAATCGGACTTATGGACGGATTGGTTTTACATAATAAACAATCGGTCTCTGCTGACGTATTATTGTCATTTTGACCACACATACTTTCACTCCGAGACAGTCGCCACTGATGTCCGTTACGATCAGGTACTAACAAATGGTTCCGTAATGACGGAGTTGTATCGCACATCTTATCTTTGGAATTTCTATTGTCTCGAAAGGAAGAAACTCTTGTATGCATGGATTGGGAATCACAATTATCGGATTTATTTTCAGAAACTTTTAGAATGTCCCATAAGTTGCCCTCTGAGCGATTTTTTTCTATACCGGAACTGACGTCTATGTATTTGGGGTTTGTGTCGGTTATTCTTTTATGATTGACACTGAGTAAACGCCGTCTCAATGAACCACTCTCTGAATCCACTTTCCCTGTTACCATCATTCTTTGTTTACGAATTTGGACATCTTCGGATACTAACCAATATGTGAGTAAATCTCCTTTACCCTAAAAAAATATAAAATGATTAAAACTTATAATGCTCCTCTAATCAGATGATTAAGTTAATTAATGTTTAATTAATAATTTAGATAATATTTCAGGCCTAAAGAAAGACCTGCAATAGACAAATTTAGCTCTTGCATAATGTATTTTTATTGGTATGACGTGAGCTAATATCTCAACTTTAATTGTTATTAATGGACAATTTTGGTGTCAGCCATTATCACATGTGATAGAACTACTTAAACACGTTCCAAAACCCCATGAATATTATGGTTGTTAAATTATTTTGCTATCTACCTTATTGAAGACGTATGTAAGTCGTTATCTCCTCTACTGGGATTATATTGTTGTGCGGATGTAATATGTAATATTTTTATACAACGAAAATATATAATATATTGGGTGTACAATAATGCCATTATTCCATTATTATTGGCCCCATTCGTTTAAATAGCTTGACACAAAATAGCTGGTTAATGGTAGCCGTCAAATTAGGAGATCAATTGAGTATACACAGGCACATTGGGCCATACTATATACCGGAAAACAAACGGAAAACAACCGGAAAACACCATTTTATACTGCAATGAATACCGGAAAACAGCGGAAAAACACTAAATACCGGAAAACATCCTAAATACCGGAAAACACCCTAAATAGGTAACCCGGAGCCTGGTCCTCGGTGTGCGGTTTTGGACCAAGTGAGCGCCGATGAAGGAAAGTCAAGGTCATTACGATGGGTCAAATATAATCACTTGAACCATAATAATATTCAACATATTCCATCATATTCCGAGGGCCGCACACAGGATTTTTTTCTGGATTACTATTCGAGCTTTTTTCCCAAACTTGTTGACCAGTTTTCCTTGAGGAAACCCCATCTTTCGCCCAATTGTCCATGAGAAAACTACATATTCTATCTTACTGCATTGACGGGAAGTGGTAAGCTGGACGTCTGTGAAAAGGGTTGATCGATAAATTTTCAAGTAAGCAATTGTTGTTTTTGTTTGTGAAATAGAGGACTCTAGCCGATTAGGCTACTTCCCCCCCCCCCACGAGAACCTCAGGCAACCAATTTGTTTTATGTACTACTATCGTAATAAAACATTACTATGTTAACCACTTCCTGGTGGCTGAAGACTTCACCGAATGCGTATTCGGAAAAAAATGTCCCCGAGAAAATGTTTTTTCAGACAATCGATATTCGAGATGTCTTCTGTTGCACAAATTATGCTGCACTGTGTCAGAACTTGCATCTTTTGATCTGAAGATTGTAGATGGAAAAGTATCATTTGCACTATTTCAAAGTAAACCTGCATTTTCGTGTATCATCCCTTAATTTGTGATTAATGACAATGACTGTGGAAATAATATGGGTTGAGGAACGGAAGATCTATGTTCGTCACGTGACTGGACAATTCCACCCCCGTCCCACCCTGACGATGATCCCTCCCGGAGCGGCGCGGCGCGGCGCGCTCTCTAAAAAAATCCCGGGCACAGTTTACTCTTCTAAGTTTTCCGGTAGCTATTTAGTAACCCGGAGTTTGGTCCTCGTGTGTGGTTTTGGACCAGGTGAGCGCTGATGAAATAAGTTCATTAACATACAAGCGAGCGATCGCCTACGGTCAAAGAAAAATTTCTTTTCAGATTTTTTTTAACAATTTCTTCTCCGAAATTTCTCTCAAAAAAAATTCGAATTTTTCTCTGTAAAATTATTTTCTACGGAATGTTTTTTTGTAAAACCAATTTTTCGGAAAAATTCGAATTTTTCTTTTGTGACAGAAAATTTTTTTCGTCAAAAAAATTTTAGAGAAAAAAAAATCGGAATTTTTTTGGGGGGGTGGGGTGGGGGCTATTTGTAAAACGAACATCGTAATGACCTTGACCTTCCTTCATAGGCGCTCACTTGGTCCAAAACCGCACATAGAGGACCAGGCTCCGGGTTACCTATTTAGGGCCTTTTCCGGTATATAGGGTGTTTTCCGGTATTTAGTGGTTTTCCGGTGTTTTCCGGTATTCAGTATAAAATGGTGTTTTTCGGTTGTTTTCCGGTATATAGTATTGCCGGGCACATTCACCAAATATTTTTCGAAAAATGAAGTAACATTTGATTTTAATATGGGACATTGGAACCATTTTGACATTTTCTTGTCCAGACTAGTCCTAAAATGACCAAGTTTGTGTCGGGTGGACGTTTTCAAAATGTAAATTATGTACTTAGCCACTCATTTTAAAATCAGTTATAAATTAAAAGTAAACAAACCTTCATATTGACTAATCCTCTTTCTTCTAGAGTATAACCACCCAATTTAATTAAGATGGATCTACACTCGGCACTACAATGTATCTTTAAAGCTAAAATAATGGAACAATATTTTAAAGTGTTGGTTGTTTGTAACATGTCAATAATTTTTCCAACCATGGTTAATCATTGTTTAAACAACCGACATTAACATTGTATTGTTGATTTTTTGACGAAAGCTATCGCCGCTTTCAGTACGAACAAGGATTCGCACGGAAACTCGCAGTGGTCAGTGGTCGCTTTCGCGTTCGCGCTCATTATAAATGACCCATTAAAGAAGTGTGAAATTAGAGTCTTCCAGACTAGCTTTTGTCGATGACTATACCTTGTCCATTGATAATAAATGCACGCTTTAATGGACTACTACTTTATACTATTTTCATAATCTGTTTGTGTTACGCTTTAATTAAAACGATCAATGAAACGACTATATGCAGGAAGTCAAGATCATAGCAGAATGCATCTGACAAAAGCGCGGCTTAATGCCAAATTAATCAGGAACAGTGGCGTATCTACGGTATGGCAGGTAGGGCATGTGTCCTGGGCGCCACTTGGGGGCGCGCCACTGTGAGATACTGACAGGAAGACCTGCTTAGGCCATGGAAGTAATCTAGAATTTCGTGCAAAATCTTTGAATTTTAAAATTGTCATTCAGAGCATTGTACCAGAAGACCATCAATTGTAATTTTCATGTAGTACCATAACTGTTAGTTAAAAGATTATCAAAATTGACTTATATTTTTGATGAGTGTCAGATGTTTAGACAAAGGCGCAATTCAAGTGTTTGCCATAGGCGCTATTTTCCGCAGATACGCTACTGATCAACAAAATAAATCAAGAACACCCATTTACCTACCTTCACCGTTTGATTCCATACGAGAAGCTGTATTAACAGTATCACCAAATAAAGTATACCTTGGCATAGTCATACCAACAACACCGGCAACACATGAACCTATCAAAACATTTTAATTTAAAACAATGAGGTAATGAAGATGAGCATACCCTATCAGTGTAGCGTTCTCGTACTATTCTTCGAGTGCTAATTGCCAAGGGAGTGTAAGGTGTTGCATATACACTACTGGAGTCTAAACTGTTGCGTGCACTGGAGTCTAAACTGTTTGAACATCTAAATTAACATTCAATTTCAACAACGAGTATGATTGAAGACGACATATTATTCTTGTTTGCATAGACTCGTGGCCACTTTAAATTATTATCAACGATATCACAATCTAATTAAAACACAGATCCTTTTTCGTTTCGTTTTTCATAGTTCAAAATTTTCTTTTATTTGGCTGTACTACACTACGTTCTGGAAAAGGTGTTATACAACCTGCGTTCTGGATGTGGTGAGTTATTATCCAATGAAACCATCATGTACGGAACTGTGGGTAAACCACTAGAAACGTCAACGCTGATTGATTAATCAATGTCTGACGTCATAGGGTCAAAGGCCGTTCGTACGACCTCTGATGCGACCATTTACTACAACCGGTCAGATCTTCATGTATTGTCGGCCATCGAAAGTATACAAAAACGAAACGAAATATAGATCTGTATTTTAATCAGATTGGCGAAATAACGACTACTAGTTAATCATTGGCAGTGAAAACATCATACGTAACAAATGCTGTCTGTCAATAATTAGCTCAACAGACACGAAGCTAATTGATTTAATTCCCATTTCGACTATTTTAGTCGAAAACACAATATACATGTACTTCGGTAATTTTGAGAAGTATTTTATTCCGCTTAATTCCATTTTCATATTCAATGAAGCTTAAAAATTTATTTAGCCTGTGTGTGTATGAAACAGATTGGAACCTCTTAAAGAGAATTGGGGGGGGGGGGGGTGGCCGAATGGTTAGCACGTGCTCGCTGTATCATAAGGTCTGTCATTGAGTCAACTGGCGGGGTTTCGATTCCCCGATTGTACGTGCCGGTTGTACGTGACAAGGAGTAGGGTCGCCTGTCCAACCTCGTGGGTTTTCTCCGGGTCCTCCGGTTTCCTCTCACTGCTAAAGACCCCTACGCGCAAGTGAATTATTGAAATAAAATTGAACCATGTGTTAGTCCCGAAATGATCTAGTTTGTGTCGAGTAGACATTAAACCCCACTTCTCTCTCTCTCTCGCTCTCTCTCTCTCAATACGGCTGGCAGGGGAATTAAGGGATCGGCCAACGGAGGTGACTTCTTCCGAAGGGCCCCAGTGACCCCCGGATGATTTTGAAAAAAAGGATTAAGCGATAGGCCGGCGGAGACGGCTCGTTCAGATGAGCCCCATTGTAGCACTATGGCCCTTGAGACAATTTTGGCTCTTTATAAAATTGTCTCTTCAATTTGGTCTATAAAGTCAAATCATAAGTACTAAATGAACGTGGTTATAGTTGTTCGTAAAAAACAGTGATGTTTTAGTTAAATTATAATCATTGTCAAAATAGTCCACAAATTCTAGCTGTTTATTGACCTATGGTCGGTTGACCAAAAATAGGTAATGTTGCCTGTCTTGGTTGTGGGAAATATAGAGTTTTATTCCTTATATGGCGTGGAAATTCACGTCAAGGTTATTAAAGACCTGGGAAAGTAGGGGGTATAAATTAGGGTGTAGGGGAGAGCTAGATTAGAGCTCACCCAGAGATTCTTACCAGTCATTATATATTTGAGAACGAGGAACCTGCAAAGTTATTTCCAGTTTACTAATAAAGCTGTGAAATCATTGTTGCTGTAGTATTATTTACGATCACAAGGAACACAACAAATAAAGAAGTCCCGTAGTACTACACCATTTCATTTATATTCACCACGGCGAAAAACAATGGCGACATTGATTTTATGTAAAGCATCTGACATTTTCGCTATGACAAAAGTATATACGATGTGAAACACGTGATAATAAGAATATGGGAAGCTTATTCAAACCACACAGTTTCTTTGGCAAGGCTTACCCGAACTCATCACGGTTACTGAGCAATAGACATTTTTCGCGCAAAAAGAGTATTTTCGGTATAGATGGGTGATTCTACGTGGACAGTGGTTCTGCAGATGTTAACCACCCACACTCTTCAAACAAGTTGACAAAAGACAAATGCCCTTCTGAATTTGTGGGGCCTCCAGAGATTGGGTGAAAAGTTATTTCAATTGTAAATGATGAATTAAATGTGTTTGGAAAAAAAAAATCCAACATAAAACGCAAAGACAAGGTTTGAATTTTCAATTGTTGTTAACCTTGTAAAAATAAATATATTTATATTTTTTGAAAATATTACCGTACCTTGGCCAATAAGATCTTTATCCGGGTCTGATAGTTGGTACACACTAGAGCACCGTCATAGTACGTGCGCGCATAAACGCATTTATAAACAAGCTCCCTTAAGACAAACACACGAACAAGACGAGAAAACAAGTAACAAACGAGATCTTGCCCCAGTACTGATGAATTGAATGTTGAATGATGGGGTGAAGCATGGACACAGACACTTCTGATGGCGGCTAGTCAGAACAGAGCAGAGATTTATTCTATGTGTGAAGAATGTGAAAACGTACATTACCTGTATGAATACCTATACGTAACTTAAGAGTAGCGTCAGGTCTATGTGGTATCTGGAATGTTTTAATTGCTGTCAAAAGATGTAGAGACATGGATGCTATCTCTCCAGCGTGATTATCGCCGTTTCTAATAGGTAATCCGCTGACTACCATATAAGCATCACCTATGGTCTCTATTTTATATACATCATAATTCTTTATAATATTATCAAATAATGTATAGAGATCATTCAACATACTAACTATCTGAAAATAAAAAATATTATACAACTTACTAGTAACTAGATTTCACAAATACACAGAGTTTACATGATATGTCAGTATGGGTGTGATATTAATCGATATATTTAAGTATATTTTTTTTACCTGGATAACGGCCATACGTGATTTCCCCTTTCGCTGGCATGACTAATTTTGACAGACTTCTCCTGTCCAACCTCGTGGGTTTTCTTCTGCTCCCACGGTTTCCCCCACTGCTAAAGACCTCTACGTGCAAGTGAATTATTGATACATGTGTTAGTCCTGAAATGACCTAGTTTGTGTCGAGTGGACGTTAAACACCGTTTCTCGCTCTCCCTCTCTCTTGCCAGGACAATGTGTTATCGGAAGTATAGCTGTTATTTTGCTTCATGTCCTTGCTATCTCAGCGTTTTGAGAAATATATTTTCAAGTCTATAATATCCCCTTGAGGTAGGCTTAGTACACGTTAAAATTTACAGATTGAAGTATCTCTAAAGCTAAGTTTTTGATAATAAGGTATATAGTTTTTGTATGTTTTGATGTGTAATTTTGAATCACGAAGAAACATAAAAGTTTCGTAAACACATTTTGAGACAAGCAAGCCAACCTTGTAATAACAAACAAGAAAAGAATGTTTGTAGGAACTTTAGTTATGTTTTCTATCATATTTCTTCCAATGTCTTAAGTGCACACTTTATGGTTTAGACATGCAAATTGCAATACAAATAAACACATACCAGAACAACACGCCGGTATTAAACTACCGATGATGGTATGTGCAATGCAAACAAATTAACACCATTAGGTATTTACCTGTGAACTTTTGGCCTTATGGCAGTTGTGCTGCAATTTTACCTCTATAAAAATAAGTTTGATGCTAAAGAGTCCAGCAGTCAAAATAACAAGAAAATGGACATACTACGAGTTTAGAATTTCAAAGTAACAAACTGATATGTAGAGTTGAAAGGCTTAAGATTGTACCTGCATTGGTGTAGATTCGGCTGAAAGTTTAGTAAAACTACAGATATCACTAAAGTATATGGTTGTAGAATTAAAGGATTCTGGGATAACAGCTTCACCACGCTTTAACTGTTCAGATACAGATCTGTGTGTAAAATAAAAACAAAATGAAAGAGTTTGGAACGTTTTAACCCAGAATACATTGAGATGGATATGTGACGAAATAGAAATATGCGTGACGGTTGATAGACAGTTAGGACTTAGACAAAACATGATAAAAAACAGCCTAACTTACAGACATTATGATTAAAGCGCACGCGTTAAACCATTCCCCCCCCACCACCAATAACTAACATCAATAGTATGATCTTTAGGTTTACCTTGGTAACATTCTATGTAAAAGTGCCTCTGTTTTCTTTTTTTCTTCAATAAGTTGTTCCGTTCTTTCACCAACCAATTCTTCTAAATTTTCTTGATATTTTTCCATCATGGCCATCATATTATCAAATATATTGCGTTTCCTATTGACAAAGAAAAACAAAAGTCAGGCGGGTTATCGCAATTAATCGCAAAGCCATAGTTCTTACTATTGACTGCCTCGCTAATCCAGGTGTTAGCCCAGAAAGTTCTCGGGATTTTCCAGTATGGGCTCCCTTTGTCAGTGGTTCGGGTGGACCAAAACCCGATTTCATGTTGTTGTTCTTGGTGTTCTTAACGGCCGCTTCCACCAAGGGTGCTATCGTAGACAAGTTGTCGTATTTTCATTTTTATTATCATCTCGCACGCGCAGGGGTCGTTCCTGTAGGAAGAAACTGAGGTTCCCGGAGTAAACCCACGAGGTGACAATGGTACGTGTTCGTCACTATCATCAAGTATCGCATTCAACTGAACGGTTGAATTTTTAAAATGAGTTACGCAGTCCTTGCCGTTTGGAAATGATCTGCGCTTATATATATACTAAAATATATTATAATCGCAGATCATTTCCATATGGCTCAGATATTTTGGCATTTGATTTCATATCTAAGCCAACTTTTATCAACGGATACTCTGTGAAGTCTAACATACTTACATTCCAGCTCTAAGTGGTTTTAATCTGATCCATACTGTACGGAAGTCTGGTCTGTCTATAGAGGATTCGGACCAACAAGCTTCCATACAATCGATGATGTATTTGTCACAGTTTAAACTATGAATATCAGGTCGAAACGGTGGATCATTACATTTAACACCCAATCTCTCAACGATTTCTATTTTGAAAAAAAACAAAAAAAAAAAACATTTAATAATCAAACCCTCAATCAATTCTATTTTGAAAAAAGAAATTCAAAAAATAAACATTTATTACTCAGTGCCTTAACGATTTCTATTTTGAAAAAATAATAATAATAATAATAATAATAATAATATAAAACATTTCATACCCAATCTCTCAAAGAAATATTTAAAGACATAAAACATTTAATACCTAGTGTCTCAATGATTTCTGTTTTGGAAAAAAAAAACAAAAAACAAAAAAAAAACAAATAAAAATATGAAACATTCAATTCTTTTCTGAAAGTGTTTTCTACGAAAAGACTAAATGCCAATGTTTCCTACCCACGCACTATAAAACATCTTTTCAAGGAATGGTCTTGAAACTTTAATCTTCATTGAAATATAGTACAATATATCATAACCAAATAATACATTCTACAGTGGATATCGCTTGTGTGGTATATTACTTAATCTACTGAATTTGAATTGTCAGTTAAAAAGGAACTATTTTTTTTTTCAAAGAACAATTAATATTTCCTTAAAAGGAACTTCTTTTTTTTTTTTATTAAAAATGAACTATTTTTTATTTAATTGACCTTGATGGAAACACTGGGTCAATATAAAGGACTTTGCAATTCTTGAATTGCTGTCAAAAAATGATGTATCACTACGCGGTAATGTAATCAGGTTCAGTAAAAGTGAAATCTATAGCAAAGAATTATATTTATTTATTTGTGCATGTAAGAAAGGATTGTGTGATAAATAAAATCTCCTACTCGTCTTTTTTCATTTAAAAAAAGACGAGTAAGAGATTCTCTATTTATTCGAGATACAAAGCAAAATGTCAAACCAGCAGTGCTGGATAATAAGACATTATGTTTTATATATAGCTATTTATCGCGTATCTCGATTGCGCGAATACGACGCCCAACCCTGACCTCTGAATATTTTGTTTGTCTCTCGACATATCTGTGAAGAAAGAACAAAGAGCAAGTGTATGCGCGCGCGTGTGTGTGTGTAGCGTGGTGTGGTTTGGGGGTGGTGATAAATTCACATATTACGTGTGTGTGTTGTGTGGTGTGGTGTGGTGTTAAAGTAGCTAAGTCTTTAACTCAATATCACCCACAGTCAATTTAAATCAACATTGATGTTGTGATCTCACCGGGAAAAGATTGGCTTCTGATATCCAACATTTAAGACAAAATAAACACTTTATCATTGGTTCACGAATCGTGTACCAGAATGCGTTTCAGCGCCGTTTGTAACAAGGGACTCTAAGAACGAGGCTCATAATTATTATTCCACAAGTCATGTTAAACGGTAACCCGATATTCTTATCCAGAGAGCATGCGCAATAAATATTAGCGATTTATCTCCTTTAAATTCGTCTATGGTATGTGTTTATTCTAACGTTTTTATTTGACATTGATTGATCCTTCTCTATTGTTTGGGCATTTATTGATCGTTCTCTCTGTTTTATGCTTGACAGTTCCCCTGCACTTTTTATTATCTGCTACATTAAAATAGGTTCAATGAACACGAACATGGTCAATAGTTTATTCGTGATATGTAGGTATTAAGTCAAATTAGACAGCATTGGGCGACAATTAAACAGGATTGGAAGATTCTATCTAATTAAAATGATCAACACATATCTTAAAAGTTTTGACCTGACAATAAACAATAAAACAAGGACGTATTATATTATATCTCTATTCAGTAGCGGATCTAGAAGCTGTGAATAGGGTGGGGGGGGGTCAAATCTAGGGCGCCATCCACATTTCTAATCCCAAATATTGAATGAATTTAAGTATCATTTCAGAATTTGAATGGGCAGAATTTGAATATGAACATTAGGGGTGATTACTTGCCCCCCACCCCTTAAATTCGCGCCTGTTTTTATTCATTGCTAAATAATAATAACATAACAACTAACGGCACTTTTATTTCGACCTTGTCCTAGAAATGGTCGACACGGATTGATGTCTCCATCAGTAATTTAAACCGCCTTGGGTAACGGCATAATTATTGGTCACGTAATGTGGGTATAGTTTGAAAACAACAATAAGTCAAGAGTAATATATCTTTCTTGGCGGGGTTAATGGTGCCATCAACCGATATTTTTCAAACACACCATAACCATTAACAATCTATAACACAGCGATAAATCGACTTACGTGGTGGCGAGAAACCAGATTAGAAGACAAACATTTTATTTATTTGTCACGAGACAAGTTTTGCATATAAAATTGTTTGACCACAAAAGCATCCAGTTCTTCATAAAGACGAAAACAACAAAGAAAGCATATCGGCTACTTTCATTTGAACGAGATTTGGCAATGAATATAAATCGCTTTAATAAAATTTAAAAGAATAAACAAAGAAATATTATTCCGCTATACATATATTATTAAGCGGGATCATTCACGATTCTCCATTTCAATAATTGGACGTATTTCAAGATAACTGCTAAGGTAAAAGCTATGTAGGACCAAATTAGCTAGTCCCTTGATGAATATATAGCATTACAAGCCATAACTGAGGTAAGAAATACACGCTTAATAAAAACGAGTTCCAACAACATAATATACAAGAAATCTGGCATCGCAAACAAGATTGTAGACCCAACAAGAAACCTACTTTTCGTTGACTGATAATTGCATAATTTTGCAAACCTTTGTCTTTTTTTTAACTTTGACGATTTTTTGGATAAGCATTAAAATGGTTTTAAAGAGTTGTACCGAGCAACTTCTGGCAGATCTGGATTACAAACTTACTGTATATCTTCGTGCATCAAGATGGCCTACAACTACCCGAGGGATGTTATCGCTTTTAAACTATCAAAATAGTTTGCCTGGTAACGAAATATGAGCCCATGCTAAAGGTTTTCACTAAAATAAAGTTTTGCTGTTTTGCAATTAATATCCAGAATCACAGAAACTCAAACGTCGATCCCAAAATTTCTATAACAAGGACAATAACTCAAAAATTACTGAAAGGTGACAATCCCAACAAAATGCTAAAAAAAATAGCTCGGACAACAAGATCCATAACTCTAAGAGTAAATGTTGTAGACATTTAAATTTTAACAGTTTCGTCTGTATTTACTCCTCGACGACAGATCACTGCCGTGATAATATTGCCTGGTCCCCATGGTATTGGCTGTGTAATTGCCAACTGGCAACTGTAAATCAGCCTTGTGGTGTTAGTTGGTCAACAATCGGGTTGCTATTTTGCCAATATTTTGTTGAATCTAGAACATATATTAGCTTAATTATGTAAGTTTGGACAAAACTCAAATAACTAATCGCTATACTAAGAAACACTTTCACGCAAGTAAGCAAAGTGATCTGCTGTTAAAAACATATATCTAAGAAGAGTCAAAATGAACTCTATTATCATGTTACCACGCATATGACTTGACCTGATGGAGGCAATTAGAACAGGAATCAGACGTCAATAATAACAGCGTGAAGCTCCTTTCTTACATCACATATGATTGATTTGTAGATGGGAAAAATACTTGTATAGCTAAAACCATTTATTCATTTATAAGCAGACGAATCAATTACTTCAGGAAATGGTAATGATACTCGGGACCCCCACCCACACCCAACCCCACCCCGCCCCGACCCAGGCCGTAACTGATACTCTAAAATTAGTTTACTATACACGAAGGCGAAGGGAGAGAATACGAAGATCAGACTTTGTGTTCTAATGATCAATTCAGGGGCGGATCCAGGAATTTTTTGCAGGAGGGGGTTTGCCAGGTTCCTGAGACAATGTATCTCCCCCCACCCCCGCATGGTCTCTATCGTCATTTTGGCGTATATACATACACATTGAGCTTTTTAAACAGAGAAATTCAACACCTCGTTTGACGTCAATTTTTATTATGAATTAATACAATGACATTGTGATTCAATTTCATGGATGCAAAGCATTAATTGTGATATCACATAATGATTATATCATTATCTCGTGCTTTGAGTGCCCATCCTGTCCTACATCTGACGATAAAGCCGAGAAACCTTTCTCATAAAAATTGTTGATTTACAAAAAAAAAAAAAAAAAAATATGTATCTGAGCAGGGGGGGGGGGGTCGACCCCCCCCCCCCTCTGGATCCGCCCCTGCAATGCTAAACCAAAGCCTTAGCTCATCTGCCCACCCCTATTTGGCTATTGTGGATAGTTAGACAGACGAACAGTGTCCGGATGTCTTATGGATAACAGTAATTTATATTCCCCACAAAATGTGAAAGTATAAAACTGGCTGTCTTGACAATGAAAAGCCTTGTCTGCGATATCATCCTCGAGGAGGCGGACATTAAGCCCCGCGCACGAAACAATAAAAAGTGCAGGGAAATGAATAATCTACAATTTAATTGAATGCAGAATGGACTAGTTAAAGTTTTGACATTAACTTAATCACGAACAAGTCACGCCTTCATCTTGTGTAGATCTTTATATATGAATAATCAATGAAATGATGTAAATTGTACAATATGTACTAATGAGCAATTGACGATATTTTCTCGGCCTAGTAGACGATATAATAAGACTTCCTCGTTAAAATTGATCTATTTTTCTTTCGAACAGACTGATACATTTATGTGTCATAACCTGCCGAACCCTGCAACCGACAATCTATGATTAAACGTGTATTTTTGTATTTTGTGATATTAACGAATGGGGTAAAAATAAAAAATTCTACGATAGAGACCATTATTCCAAAATATGAAATTGCTTCTGTTTTTTATCATCTAACAAATTTAAAATTGATCTTATATGTCGTTTAGAAGGCCAATTATTTTCGTTAGAATTTACAGGCTATAGCTAAGTTGGCTCAGCAGTTTATTGACTGAAAGATGCATTGGGTAAGACCTCAATCTACCTATTGCAGACCTTTTTTTCTGGCTTCATATGTTATATAAATCATTATTTAGACATGTATTCACATGGTAGGGCCACTCTCTAGACCACCGGGTGTTTATTGAATGGATTAGACTTTCCGCGCCATTAACATGGTTAACGTTAAAATGACGTCACTAAAAAGCACTGATAATCATGGCAATGGTACTGCCCAAATCGCATTTCTTGCCAAGACTTAAAACACTTGTAAATTCACCATGAATAATGTAATTTCACTAAAATGTTCAATATATTCATTTTTCATTATCTATTTTATGAACTATTATAGCAAGAACAACCTGATCTTTATCTATATCTTACATAATGCATCTTTAAAACTGCCAGATATATATATGAGTAGATACTTTAAAGCCTACCACTGACCTCGGAAAATTTAATGTGCTGGTTTGACTTATTGCCCATTTAATACTTGATTCTCCCTTTTTCAGAACTAGCATATACATCGAATTACTTTCCCCGGTAAAGTATTTAAAAACAAGATTTAATTTTACCTTTAGGACTCAAATTATAACACCCGTATGGCCCCATTCGTCCATAAATCTCATGAAGTATGATTCCAAAGGAAAATACATCGCCCCTCTGAGAGGCTTTCTGTTGAGGATAACGTATAAATTCTGGTGCTTTCCATAATAAATCTAAAATACATGTTGAAAGCAATGTTATTTACACGTTATCTCATATACTGATAAAAACAAGGTGATTTTATAATGTATACATACACCTCTCTTACATTAATGTGCCAAGATAACTTATGTAACAGTTTTCACAACTAATTTTTAACGCATTATATAACATTGTATTGTGAAAAACTAAATCTTATAGAAACACATCTGAGTTGTTCTTCAAATCCACACATCGTTAAACACAATGTTTATTGCTTGCATTTTAAAACTGATAAAATTACATATAAATTCTGGTCGATTTTTTCCATGTAGAAGTACAGGGCGCCTAAAGTCATCAATCAACTGATGACGGAGCTACACATTTATATTATTCTTAGTATTAAAGGCTTTAGGGAAAATTACTTTCTTTAGATTTTCTTGTCTTGGAATCATCATCCACTTCTATCCATGAAAATAACAGCCAAGATAGTTTTTAATCGCCAAAATTACCATCAAATGATCAGTAAATTTAAATGTCGATTCTCCTTTTGAGCTTTAAAGCATTTTACTAGTTGACTGTAATAGATTTTATGGCCCACTTTCTTTCATAATAACTTCATTCTGAACACATTTATTATATTAAAGATGCATTGCGTAAGAGATAAATCTGCCTTTTGCAGGTCTTTCTTTTGGCTTCAAATGTCACATAAATTATCATTTAGTCATTTATTCACATGACAAGCCTATAAATCAACCCTCTAGAACATCGGATGGCCGAGATTTAAATGGATTTGAACGCCTGCGAGATTTAAAATTTAAAAATAAAATGGATAATCGAGACTTAATCTCGGCTGACAAGTACCGTTCTACGATAATAAACGATCTACGTTACATCTTCAAAAAGTCATAACTATGCCTATATACAGAATAAAATAATGTGAATGAAATTCTCAATATATTCATATTTCATTATTTATTTTTGAACTATTATAGCAAAAACTGTCAGCTGATTATCTAAATCTTACATAATGCATCTTTAAAATAAAAATTATACTCTATACTGCTATATAAACGTTGAATGTATTTACTTCTATAATAGGCATGTTCATCTTCTTTCCTGTAGGTGGCAGCACGGACGTTTAAGAGACCAAAGTCTGTTATCTGTAACATCCAGCGACTGTTGACCACACAGTTAGAACTTTTAAGATTACCATGAATCATAAGGACGGAATCGTGGAGAAATATCATGCCCTGTTAAAAATACAAATTTAATGTTTGTGGGACCTGGCGATAATAAAATAAACCCTAATTTATTTCAATTTTGGAAAAGCAACGATATTGAAAGAAACCAAATTCCTTCAAATCGATCGTAAGATATGTTTACTTTTAGTTATTTAAGCTATTTATAACTTAATAGAATGATATTTCTTATGACCTGGGAAAAGTTAGGTTACAGACAAATAAAAATAAATCTTATCCTATCGGAAGCTTGGCCAACGACAGTTCGCGTGGGCGAAACGTCATAGTATATAAAATATATTTACTAAACCACATGAAATGTGACGAATAGAGATGTAGCTGTAATCGGCAAGATTCCATCAGACCCGTTTCTCGTAATCGCGACATTTCGTATTTGAAATATTATAGGATTTCTAAATCATAACTCGTACGATAGAATGTTCTCAAAAACAGATAACTATACTTTGCTTTGGCTATTTTCTCTAAACGGCTATTTTCTCTAAACGGCGGTTATAGTCGATTTTAAGTGATATATATGTGTTTTCATGTTTATATAAGGTCATTAGGACGGAGCGTGTTTGGGATTAATTTATTAATGGTGAAAATAGTGTAAGAAAAATGATAATCTAAGAAATGAAAATAGCCCCCCTCCCCCCCACACAAATTTCTAGACATAAATCTGTGAAATAATACCATAATAGATGGTAAGTAGGGAAATTGTTTCATATAACTGGAACACAGAGGAAATAATCACGTGGCTATTCAAATCAGTCGTTTTTTTGTTCCATTTAAAACTTAAACACGCTTTATGTAAGACATTTACTAACATGACAAGACTAGACCATAATCGACTCTCGCGGCCAACGGATGACCCCGATTTTACGTAGATTAGAACGGTTCGGCCATTTAATGATATAATTTAAAAATGGAGAAGCGAGGCAAGGACTTGAATGACCAGTACGATGGTTGAGATCAATGCACAAATCTTGTCAAAACTACAACTATCTATGGATAACTTCCCTCGAAATGTGGTAATTTGAATGGAATTTTCAATATATTTATTTTGCATTATCTATTTTTGAAATATTATAGCGAGAACGGCCAGCTCTTTATCTAAATCTTACATAATTTCCCTTTAAATTACAATTCTCCCCGGAATCTGACCAATTTCCTACGACATGTAGACAATAAGTGGTTTTACATACCTGTAATAAATCTTTTACTAACGACGCTAAAAACATGTCATCTAGCTTTAAATCACTATTTTCTAAAATATCCTGAAAAGAAAACTCTGTAATATAGAGACTTGTTTCCACTGAATACTGATAGCAAATTATATATAATTATATTGAAGATACTGCTGTTTCAAATGAGTAGAGCCTTTAAGATATCAGACAATTCAACTCATGTTTTCTGTGCTACGGGGCTAATTTGCCCAGATCGTTCGTTGGATTTCCAGGAGTGGATTTCACCTTGTTAGTGGTGTAGGATGGGGGATCTGGCAAGGACCACTGTTTAGTCGTTCGGGTGGGACGAGAAACGGGGTTCTATGTAGGGCTATACTATATACCGGAAAACACCGGAAACACCGGAAAACTACCAGCAAACACCATGATATACTGAATACCGGAAAACAGCGGAAAAACACTAAATACCGGAAAAACACTAAATACCGGAAAACACACTAAATACCGGAAAACATCCTAAATAGGTAACTCTGGAAAATACCTGAAAAACCTAACCCTAGCCCACCGCTGGTCCTCTGGAAAACACCTGAAAAACCTAACCCTAGCACTAACAATAACCCTAACTCTCCGCAAACAGAGGACCAGGCTCTTTGTTACGTATTTAGGATGTTTTCCGGTATTTAGTGTGTTTTCCGGTATTTAGTGGTTTTCCGGTGTTTTCCGGTATTCAGTATAACATGGTGTTTTCCGGTAGTTTTCCGGTATATAGTATTGCCGTTCTATGTACACTCTGCCGATTGGTGCAGATAGATAGGACGTTAATCCCCATTTCATTTCATTTTCATTTCTTTGCGTGTATCGTAGGTGAAATTGCAACCTAGTCGTCTTGGACAAAATCCGGCAGTTCGACGAAATGATATCAACAAAATGACGATTGTTGTCACTTAGTGGTCACATAGTCATCAAATAGTTCGATTCTCACTCATAGCAACGAGACACCTCACTATTCACGGCCATTCAAACATTATCGCCTGTCTCTATCGTATGACTAAGACTAGAATAACGCTAGTCAGAACTTCATAATTTTTTCAAGTATAAAAGAAGCTAGAAACGTAACGAAATACAAAATACATTAATCTTACTCGGGGGAGTCTACCAATAATATTACACCGAAAGAAATGTACCTTTTTTCGTTTTAATACGTATAGACAGTTAACAAAAAGAATATATTCAGATTAAGACAAAGCATCCTGTTTATTCTTTACTCATTTGATATTTGCGTGTAATAATCTATTAGACCGTTCAACAAACATAAGAACGGAGCATTATTGACATTCTGTGATAATTTCACATGAGGGCACTTTATCTAACCGGAATTATATACTGAATCTAGGACTAATCTTATGGAGAGTGAAAAGCCATTCACTTCTAAGTACTTTTTACTCTTTACACTATCATAAAACTATCAATTACATCATCTATATTTACCTGTAGACTGCCTTTAGAACAGTATTCAGTTATTATTATAAAATATGGTGGATCTATACAGGCTCCAATAAATGCATTCACATTATCATGGCGTAAGTCTCGCATCTGGAAAAAGAAACAAACCATTTGAAAATACAAAATTTTTCTTAATTTTTTTTTTCAACACGAAATTTCTTAAAATGGCGGATCAAAGCATTGTCTATTGTCAGAAAATCAACGACAATTTATGTATACATTGGAAGTAAAATTTTTAACGGACGTCTGTCTAGTAACTGACTCGGGATAAATATGACAAAATATTTGGAATACAAGTTACAACCTTTAAAATCGATCGTTGTACACTGGTCATTCTTGAATATTTGATGAAAATCTTTTAAAAAATTAATTCATCAGAGTCAGTACAATCTACTGTTTAACGAAAACTTTCAATATCGATAGAGATCATCGTTAGATCAACACTAACTATTTCTAAAAATGCGATAAAAATTGATTAAGAACCACGTGCGGAACGAAACTGCACGGAATCATATCTATACGAAATTTTACATTAGATTTAAGCTTCGTAGAGAAATATCCGGTTAATGTATTGTCTTGAATACTATCATATATATATTTTTTTATTATTCCCAATACTCACAGTAAAAGCCTTCTATTTATTTTTGTTTGAATAATTCATTAAGTACTTTACACTTTTTATTCTATAGGGTGACATTTACTTAAAGAAAAGGGTTCAAGCTTTCAATCTTTTTAACAAAATGTTTTTTTTCCTAGCAAGATTATTCATATCCTTTTACCCATTAATTTTTTTTTAATTCAAAAAGTAACAACATTAGCTTCTATAGGATACCAGTTTTTCAACAGACCACATTAATCCAAAACATCAAGCTCTTTTCGCTTTTGTCTCGATCAGAAAGTCATAAATGTGTTATATGCCATGTCTGTCTAAATGAAAATAAAATAAAAGTCTCGTTGTGTAAATATGACACATTAAATACAACAAATATATTTTGTAGATGCTCCAATCTTTCTTTGATTCTTTAAAACATTAAATATCTTTAGTTCACGTCTACGAAACCTTTCACTAAGTAATTCGCCCCTACCAGGTTTTCATTTACCCTGTGAAGTGGTATCCGTGGTGAAAGCACCGATTTATTTTATTCATAATGGACCGATTATCATTACACTGGGCCGTATTAACGCTTTTGTCCGTATAATGAATTCAGTAATCAGTGTGTGTATATTAAAGATGCATTATGTAAGAGCTAAATCCGTCTATTACAGGTTTAATTTTGGTTTCAATTATTGTTTAGGCATTTATTCACATGTCAACTCTCTAGACCATCGGATGGCGTAGATGTAAAGGGATTAAGATACGATTGACACTTAATGATTTACGTCTCAATTTTAAAAGTCTCGATTAACAAGTAACGTTCATTTTGAATTATCTATTTTGGAACTATTATAACCAGAACGTACTGTTCTTTATCTAAAACTTACATCTTTTATGTTTAATATCTGTCCAGACTGTCTATATATTCTGATATAAAAGATAGTAATACCATAATACTCTAGACAACAAATTCAATTATTTCTTGTAAACATTCAAATATTCACACACAAAATGAATCCATTACTATACCAGTTTCATTTCTTTTTTCATTTTTCTACTGACGTCAAAAGTTTTGGCTTCATACATTTTGAGTGCTACTACTTGACCTTTGTAAGAGCCGGTTCGTGCGTAGATCTGAGTAACTGAAAATTTAGATTCCATTGACTGTTGACTGCATAACGTTCCCTGTAAGAGAAATAATAATTATTGTTTATTACAAGATAGTTTACGTATGAAGATCTAATTCCAACAATAAATCTAACAATGTGATTACACCCCAATCTATATCGTGATTTGATGTCTGATTGGGGAAATGATTTCATATATTTTTTATTGGATAAGATAAGATTTAATCGGTGAACTGTACATTAAATGCTAACTTGCATCAAGATTAGCACAATTTGAATAAAATCCAGACAGCGTTAGCAAGGAAAATGAATGTAAAATTGTTATGGCGAAAACCAAATCACGAAATATTAATCGAGAGTCTGACTGACATTATCTTAAATACAACGTTATCATTCGCCATTGGCGCCATCATATTGCTCAAAAGAGGGGAGGGTGGTGGCCGAGTTAGTTATTTGTCAAATGACCTGGTTATTTAGGGGCCATGCGTTGTACTATGCCGGAAATCTAGCCAATTATTAAGGGTTCCGGTGAACCTCGGCTTATCTTACCATCCGTTCGACAGTAATACTATTTGATAATTTATGCGAAATTGCATTAGGCGAACATAAGTACATGATTTATAATTGAATATGATACATATGTTTTATCTGTCTTCTCTATTGTCAAAATATAAGCTATGCTATGCGTTCATTTGAAACGCAAATTAAATTCTTTAAGAAATATTATGTGGACAACATGACATAGAGTCTAAGGCCAAGGATGATGTAGGGAAATTCTATTGCACCATTTGGCTTAGTAATCAGTCATTATAATTAATTACATCATATTTGACCATAGTAATTGTTATCCATAAATAGTGTGTTATTCGATCATATTTGACCAATTAGATATTGAAAGTCGAAACCCAAGGGTAGAAAACCACCAGAGTTCTGACCGTTCGACAGACAACCATGTAGATTCTAAGAGGGGAAGATATAGCAAGTTCTACCAGTAGACTCGGTATGGCGAGTTCAGATGGGAGTGGAATAGAATAGAGAGAATGACTTTATTTTTAATCTATGCTTGTAACCTATGTAGCAAGTGCTTGACATAAAAATGTAGAAACAAACTGTGGCATTGTTATTTTTGTGTGTAACCATAAACTGAATCAGAGGAGAATAAATACACAACATGGAATGTCAGAGTGACATTTAAAGATGCGCCCTTACCAGTTAAAGAATTACAAATATAACCAGAGACAATACTAGACGATCACAAGGCTATTAAAATATGTAGCAGAGGAGAGAGTACGCGTCACATGTTGGATGTGGGCGGGGGGGGGGGGTGTTTGATTTTCCACATATAACCAGTGAATAATAGAACTGCATCGACATATTTGATTTGGTTGCCGGACAGCATATAGCGCTATATATTTGTTGGGTTGCCGTGCCAGGATTAGACATTTAAGGGAAAGAAGCAGTCTCATAGCATGGGGTTACATGTTTGATTTGATTTCCGTGACTCAGGATCGAAGTTCAAGGGGATCTACATCTTTGATTTGGTGCACGTAACTCAGAATCTACCTTTAAGGAATGGAAGAAATTTGGATGAAAACAGCAATCAAAAGAAATCTATCTGGTTGACAAATTTGGTGGAAATATTAGCAAATGGGTAAAAACATTTTTTCTGAAAAATTGAACATGTAAATTTGTTTACAGACCAAATAATGCTCAGTAGTTAATTTACGATTAAAATTATTAAAAAAGGGTTGTAAATTTAAGCGTAGGAAATATGATATGTTTATTATCAAGGTTGAAATGTAGGTTAGAAATTTATGTAATATGATTAGCTTTCGGAATGTCATATTGGAGTTATTTTAATTTAAAGTTGGCCTATAGGGAGTAGGTTAATAAATTTTAAGTATATCAGGAATAATAACGAAATGAAAAAGGGAACAAAATAAAGAATTAATTGTGTCTCCGGATCAAAGTAGAAAGACGGCAGAGCTAAGGAAGAAGTCTGTGAGTGATTAACTCACAGTTTTCATGATCGGTTGGCCTCTTTCAGCTCAGATTCGTTATTTGTGTTGGTGTTGTCCAATGTCCATATGTTTAGCTAAGTAGAGCTAATATAATTTTGAAATTTTGAGACCCTTAGTCCAAGTACAGAATTGTGGTGTTAGCTAATTAAAGGCTAAATAAGTAGTTTAACTTTTGAATAAAAGGTTAGATTATGAGTATTAATATGAATATATATGTTTATAATTTCTAGCATAAGGAAAACAGACCTTATGTAAATCGCGAATAGCGTTTATATTAGGGAGTAATAAATTAATAAAAGGGGTTACATGACCTTTGAGTATAGAGGTTAAAGTTCGGGAAGTGGAAGTGCCAGTATTAAGTATTATGCCTTATCATAAATCGCGTGGATGCGTGTAGTTGTTTAAAATTAGAGACACGTTGAATTTTCGAGATTATAAAGCGAGTCAGTGGTTTAGTATATTACGATTTCTTATATCGTTGCTTTAAATGTATAATCTAATACATCTGCTTTAACTTTAAACTGTTCACGCTATATGATTAAGAATGTGTAATTGAGATGATGTCACGCTGTACTCTTTAGTCTGTTCATTAAAAACGATAAGTTCTAAATATTTGACATGTGTGCAAGCCACGTGACTTCAGATGAGTTGAATGACCCTCCATTATCAGACCCTCCGTCCTGCATATATGGACAAAAGACAACAAATATGTAGTTTCTATTAATTGTGAAGCAATAATTGAACAAATCCAATACTGACTGTCTTATTATGAAAATAATTCGTCTCAATGGTCATTCAAAATTACAATGACATCAATCCCAATAATTTTTACACGAAACACGCAGATGGAATTGTTATGAGAAACACGGAGATTAAAATTTGGCGAACCTGACTGCATTTATATCCCGAATAATAACATTAGGATGTCGATGGCGATGATACCCGAATGATGAAAACGGCTAATCTTTGGTGAAACTATATGTGGAAATGAAATAGGGTTTAACATCCTACTGTTCTACTTTGGCCTATTGAAGACGGGTATACGCCATACAGTGTGCTATGGGGGGACTATATTTGGAACCGAAACCGTTAGTCAACCGTAAAAAATGAAGTTGCCAACCCGGCAATACTAAGTGGGCTGTACAAAAAGGACATTATTGTCAATATGCGAAAACACACAACTATAGATTCCCCAAGGCAAGAACTCCACCATAAGTTGATGGTTTACCAGAATGGTCACTGGAGGGGATATAGGGGGATCACGACTTTAATAGTTTTAAATTCGTTAAGCCGATTATACTACAACATATTATCTGAGAGCAAATGTGTTTTGTAGGTTACTTCAGGGATAGCTTACACTAACACCAATATTATACCAGGAAAGATAAAAGGAGTAATGTATTTTTACCCTGCTACCACTTTTATTTCTATCTAGATGTCCCGTTCCTGGTTCGTCTCCTGTTTTAATATCTGATATAGAAATCTTCCACAACAAACCAGCTATCTCCTGTTCATATCGCCAGTTTCTATAATTATACATATTCAAATAACTCAAAAAATATTTAGTGGAAAAAATAAAACATTTAACAACCTGCACCATTATCGCATATGATAGAACTAGTTAAACACGTCCCAAATATAATTTTAACACAGAAATCATTGCTACGATAGATGCTCATGAAGATTTCAATGACTACACTATAATGTCAATAATTTAGATAATCTTTAAGAGGCATTTAGTAACTGGGTAGAGCAATACACAAAAAACACATACTTATGGAAAAACAGCTACTTATTTATTTGGGCGACGTTTCGAAGAGTATTCTCTCAACGTTATCAAGCTAATACAGTAATACAAGAATAATGAGATCAATATATACAGAAAACTGTAACAACAATTCATGAAACCATACAGGACAACAACAAGATCAAAGGGGTTTATTCTACAAAAACTAATTAAGTGTGAAGAGTAGCCATTGAGTATAGTTAAGCAATTAGGTAGCTATGATGATAGATACAATACTACCGGCAGAATGGGATAGTACCTACAATACAATTATGATATACCATGGTTTGTTTAGATAATGGTAATTAACTTTATATGTCTGTGTGATTAAATGTACAATTAGACTAGAGTAACCCATATGTGTAATAATTCTAAGAAATAGAGTGGATATAACTGATAAATTGATAATAATATTAGAAAAAATGAAAAATAATAAAACTCATAAAAATTCAAAGGTTTCTTATCCACTGTACTGTAGAATGAGTGGGGGGTGATGGAAAACACATAATTTAGGTATATTTAATAAGTTCATCATAAGCACTAGGCAGGAATATCCCTGTGTCGCGGTTGAGGTCTGGACTGTTTCTTTTAATGTGTATGGCCTCAATAATTTTGCGGGTTTTTTCTATCGGTAGGTTGGCCGCCAGGGTTCTATACGTTTTAATTCTGTGTCCTGGGTTGGATTGTGTGTGTTGGGCCACAGCTGAATTGGTAGTAGAGGATTTAGATTTATGCTGACTGATTCTCTTGTCTAAAGGCTGTCTAGTTTCTCCAATGTATTTTTTGTCACACGTGCAGGTTATTTCATAAACACATTCTTTTGGGTTCAGTTGTTTGGTTGGGGGAAGTTTGCCACTGGCCTTCAGGAGATCTTTGAGAGTTCTTCCTTTGGAAAATGTTACCTGGATGCCTGTTGGGGTTAGGAGTCTTCTGAGGTGGTACGATAGTTTGCCTTGAAAAGGTATTGTTATTCTCACTGGTGGTGTATCTGGTTTAGGTTGGCTTATATCTGTAGGAGGATTGGTGGTTGCTTTGATGATTTTCTGCACTAATTGTCGGGGGTAGTTATTGAAGTTGGTTAGAGATGTTTCAATGTGATCAAGTTCTGCTCTGATGTAGTCTTTGTCGCAGATGTTCACGGCTCTGCGCGCTAAAGTGGATACAGTAGCTTTCTTTACGCTGTGCGGCTGATTCGACTTATAATTGATGTACTGGTTGGTATGTGTGGGCTTTCTATATACGCTGGTATTTAGTTTGTCAGCAGATCTCTTAACTAGGACATCCAGGAACGGGAGGGATTGGTGCTGTTCTTTTTCTATCGTGAATTTTATTCTGTTATTTTGGTTGTTGAGGTGGATGAGGAGGAGGTTGGGGTCTTCATTCTGTTTGAGAATGACAAAAATATCATCTACCTTACGAAGCCAAGCTGTAGGTTGAACCGGTGAAGTGGATAGGGCATCGTTTTCAAAACTAGTCATATAGATCTCGCTGAGGACTGGGGACAAGGGGCTTCCCATGGGTAATCCATGTACTTGCTCGTAAAAATCATCTCCCCAGGCCAACCTACCGATAGAAAAAACCCGCAAAATTATTGAGGCCATACACATTAAAAGAAACAGTCCAGACCTCAACCGCGACACAGGGATATTCCTGCCTAGTGCTTATGATGAACTTATTAAATATACCTAAATTATGTGTTTTCCATCACCCCCACTCATTCTACAGTACAGTGGATAAGAAACCTTTGAATTTTTATGAGTTTTATTATTTTTCATTTTTTCTAATATTATTATCAATTTATCAGTTATATCCACTCTATTTCTTAGAATTATTACACATATGGGTTACTCTAGTCTAATTGTACATTTAATCACACAGACATATAAAGTTAATTACCATTATCTAAACAAACCATGGTATATCATAATTGTATTGTAGGTACTATCCCATTCTGCCGGTAGTATTGTATCTATCATCATAGCTACCTAATTGCTTAACTATACTCAATGGCTACTCTTCACACTTAATTAGTTTTTGTAGAATAAACCCCTTTGATCTTGTTGTTGTCCTGTATGGTTTCATGAATTGTTGTTACAGTTTTCTGTATATATTGATCTCATTATTCTTGTATTACTGTATTAGCTTGATAACGTTGAGAGAATACTCTTCGAAACGTCGCCCAAATAAATAAATAATTTAGATGTTTGTATATTATAGATGTTATCCTTCATTATCTTTCAAAATTGAATGTCATTAGATAAGAGAAAACGAGAAAAATAGAAAAGGTCCGTACATTATCTTGTACTATACTTAATAAAAATATGGTAATGTACGGACTATTTCTACTTTTTTCATTTTCTCTTATCTTGTGACAGTCAATCATTTTTTGAATTGTCAGATATTAGTGAGCAGAAATTCGACCGCTCGTTACTTCAGTCAGTTATTTTTTTCGCGTCAATTTCGTTTCTTCAAAGGTTCGTCACGCATCTATCGTAGCAATTGATCTCTGTGTTAAAATTATATTTGGAACGTGTTTAACCAGTTCCATCACATATGCGATAATGGCTGACACCAATATTTTGCTTTAAAGGGCGTATAGCTCTAATCTTTGGAACCTTTAATTAGACGAAACTGTGTCGAAAAGAACATTGTTAATATAATATGAATGCATAACATCTTTTTTACATTCAATATTTAAAATGTGTTTTGTAATTTCTAATCAGTTATGTTCAGTTAAATATGTGAGCAGTCCAAATCAAATTGTAGACGTTTGCGCCCGGTTAATCCCGGCTACAGGTTTATCTCCGTTCTGTTTATCGTTCGCTAGATTCTCAGCCTGGTGCTTCTTATAAAGGCTGTCTTTATATACAAAACAAAACATGCACTGACCATTGCTGTCGTACGTACACAAGAACACAGAATACATATTTGTAATTTTCCCTCGGCGGCTTTCGCGGAGAAACAGGAATCATAAATCGGTTCTAAGCGGAAGTAAATACAGCGTGATACGAATGCCTTTGGGGGCATCGATCTTCTAGAATAACTGATGGGCTTCATCACCGGGCATATTCGATTACCAGAAAACATCTGTATAGTTATAAATGTCAATTAAGAAATAATAACCCTTCTGAACTCATACAAAAGATATCATGACGTCTTTAGATGGCGTTTCAACTTAACTTCAAATTATATAAAAGCTTATATTTTTTTTATAATATATTATGTATGGTAAAGATTACAATAGTATTACCTGTATATTATAAGTAATATCACACCTATTATAAATGCTAATCCACCCAGTATTCCGCCAACAATTTCAAGAGTGTAAGCTGAAAAAAACGTCAACATGTTTATTAACCTACAGCGATATTTTTATTATTTTTTTTCAAATCATGGCGTAATCCCTTCTATATGGTTTAAAGCTGGTATTACGATAATTCGTTGACGTAAACGTGTATCATAAATCAATTTAAATATCCAGATAACATCATATCCGCTAGTCATGTAATTATTAGTAACAACCCCATCCCACCCATCGCCACCTGACAAAAATCATCAAAAAGGAAATAATTTTATTATCCTTTTACTTAATCAAAAATATTATTCTATCATAAATAACGGTAATAGTTTTAATGAGTTCTGGCTCAATATATAAAAAACCTAATTACATTCATAATTGAAAAGCTATATTCCTCAAATCCTAGCCTGTAATCATTTTATATAAACTGCCATGAAAATTTAATTACAGCCGCAAAATACATTTCATTTAGATCCCAAAAGTTTAATATAGGCTAAAGTCAGCAATATCGATTTAGCGGATTTCGCCTCTTGGTAAAAAATACAACTTCGATTTAAATTGGATTGCACTTGAAAAGTAGAAGCGAATCTGAACATTGCCACTTTGCAAACCACATCAACAAATCAAACTTTATTAAATCACCACTTTTATTTTTTACTCAAATCAAAGAGATATCGTAACTTTATCAATTAAATGAAATTCTACTTTAGATGTACTGGGCTATTTTTAGACCCGCGCTTTTCTCCCCCAATGCGACGACAACCAGATATCCAACTATAATAAACCATTATCAAAAAGTGAGATGTTAAATCCCATTTCATTTCCATTAACTATTATAACATGTATGAAATGAAATTGGGGGGTGGGGGGTGGATGGCTGAATGGTTAGCGTGCGCGCTGTATCATAAAGTCTGGCGTGGTTTCGAATCCCCGGTTGTACGTGGCAAGGAGTAGGGTCGCCTGTCCAACCTCGTGGGTTTTCTCCGGGTCCTCCGGTCTCCTCCCACTGCTAAAGACCCCTACGCGCAAGCCAATTATGTAAATAAAATTAAACCATATGTTAGTCCCTAAATGACCTAGTTTGTGTCGAGTGGACGTTAAACCCCATTTCTCTCTCTCTATGAAATGAAATGGGGTTTAACTTCCTACTTTTCTGCACCGACGGGGCTAATGAGGGAAATTTTGCCCGGAAAGCGGCACTACGCCCTACTCTTATTTCTAATTCTAATTGTCAAGGGTTTTTTTTACATACCCTCGGGAAACCTAGGTTTTTCGTCTCATCCGAACGGCTAGACGCTATCTTTGTCAGGCCCTTCAGCCTGCACCCCTGCCAATGGGGAAACCACGCATGAAAATCCAGGGGAACTTTCTCTGCCATTAGGCTTACATGTTTTAATAAACTTCTTTTTATGATTGCGAAAGTTTAGAATATGCTTTGTTGGCTAAATGAAACAGATGCATCAGGTGTCATCTGAATCATATTCTAAACAAGAGAATTGGAAAATTTTATAGACATAACTCGCTCTAATTTTATATTTTATTTCGTCCAAGTCAAGGGTGTGCAGTGTCAATCTTTGATTAATATCTGAGAAAACTGACATAATTATATGGTTCATATTTTTACTCAGACAAAATTATACGAGCAAATATTTGAGTTAATCTTTCTATGGTTCATCATTTGAAATTATTAAAGTTGAGGACAACTTTGTACTTACATGGTTTTTATGGCTTTGGTCTCAGAATGCTGTAATTGAATTTATTTTATGTGGAAAATGATGTATTGTAAGTAATAAAAGATAGGTTACCAGGCAACGAAACATACACCCACAGCAACTAAATCGTCCGGGCAGTCAACAAGGGTTGTCGCATATTTTTACTTTTTTCGGTAATGAAACATTTATAATACACTAAAATCTGTTTAAGAGCAACAACTCACGAAGTAATTATCAGAAAACTATTAGAATTTGTTTGGTTTTTATAAAGTTCTGCCCCATGCTAACGTTTGTATGCAAAGCTTTTAATATCATGGATTTAACTGTTCAAGTCATAAAAATTCATTGAAAATCAATATACTTGTTCGTCTCAAGATCTTAAACTCTGTGTATCAATCGGATGATAACTTAAGGGCCATAACTTTAGCAGTAATTATCGGAAATCGTTGAAAATCAATAGGAATCTTCGTCTCATGACCCCAAACACTGTGTATAAATTTAAACTCAATCGGATATTAACTTTAGCCTCTAGAGCATCCACAAGATTTTTTGAAGTGATCAAGGGCCATAACTCTGGCAGTAATTATCGGAAATCGCTGAAAATCAATAGGATTCTTCGTCTCATGACCTTAAACACTGTCTATAAATTGAAAGTCAATCGGATATTAAATTTGGCCTCTAGAGCATCCACAAGATTTTTCAAAGTGATCAAGGGCCATAACTCTGGCAGCAAATATTGGAAATCGCTGAAAATCAATAGGCTTCTTCGTCTCATGACCTGAAACACTGTGTATAAATTTAAGGTCAATTGGATATTAACTTTGGTCTCTAGAGCGTCCACAAGATTTTTCAAAGTGATCAAGGGCCATAACTCTGGCAGTAATTATCGGAAATCGCTGAAAATCAATAGGCTTCTTCGTCTCAAGACCTTAAACACTGTGTATAAATTTAAAGTCAATCAGATATTAACTTTAGCCTCTAGAGCGTCCACAAGGAATTGTGGACGCCGGACGGACGGACGTACGGACGGTGGCGACGACAATATACGACCACATTTAAATGTGGGCGTATAAAAATGACACATCTTACTTTGTGGGGGTATACATTTCTCAGCTCTATATCCACATTGAGGTTCATCTATAGGTGGTTTAAACGATATCCAGTCAATCTCATTTTCTTCAAAATATCGAAAACTCTGTAATTTAAGAGACCAAGCAATGCAATAAAAATGCTGAAAAATATCTCGCATGCGTATATAAAACTTGTTTCATCCTGTACTCGTAAGTCTCTGTATTCATTATAGATTAGAGAAATAAGTTTAATCAGTTTAAATCAGTTTAATCCCTACAAGGATTAACAATCCAGTACATGTATTTACAAACTGATGATGAATTGAAATTTGGGAACATTCGTCATCCTATGCGATGATATAAACAAGCCACCTATACCAATGGACCTCTTTTTCACCCGGTAGAAGGAAACAATAATATCTGGTGTTGATATTATGCTTTCGTATTCTCAATTAAATGTTAATTAATCTATATCTATATGAGTATTTTAACATGGATTAAAGATACATTATGTATTATGTATTAATGAACCAAGTTATCTCTGTTTGTAGTTTTGACAAGAAATGTGCATTGATTGTTTATTACCGTAACCACGGTACCTGTGTATTCGAGCCCTAGCCTCGTTTCTCCATTTTATATTAAATCATTAAATGGCTGAATCGTTCTAATCTAGTTAAAATTTTGGGCATCCGATAACATCGCGAGTTGATTGTGGTCTGGTCATGTTAATAAATGTCTAATTAATAATTTATATAACATACAAGGCCTAAAGAGAGACCTGCAATAGGAAAATTTAGCTCTTGAATATTTAAGATATTGTCCGAAAAGTGCATGATCGGCGGCTTCAGTGAGAGGCGGATGAAATGATGAACTACATAGTTACAGAGCTAACAATTGTTGCTTTAATTTTTGTATCTTTATAACTTATTCCAGTTTACTTTCCAAATATACCATCTTTTAAAAAATCAAAACTGGTAGAGAATACAGACAGAAACATATGATATAGGAATAAACCAAATTCCACATAAATTTTACCTATATTGGCAGAGAAAATATCCAAATGGAAATAAATGGTGCCGAAAAAGTAAATTAAATCTTGTTTACCGGTATTCCACTTCCCTCTTCAATCTGGAAATGACCCACAGGCATCATAGAATAGTTTGCATAAAAAGATTCAAACCAGGCTCGTGATAATAGTGTATAGTTACCCTCAGCATCTCCATTTTCATCTATATGGGACAAAAATCCTTGTATACCTAAAAAAAATCAATTCCATTTTTACAAATTCTTTGGGATTTTTCTTCTTCGTAAAAATAATGGATTAGTAGGACCCACAGTGTCTTGGTCACTTCGTGAAGATATGTTTTTTAAAATCATATCCAGTACTTTAAAAGTAGAGTTATAAATGCAATGTGTGTTTCAGTGGATTTAAACCAGGTGGATGCGGCTATTGTAGGCAGTGCTGGTATAGATAGTACGCACTTCACTATCATACCCAGTAGCTTTCCCTAAATAGAATTGAAGCACCCGAAATCAATAAAATTTACAATATTAAGAGAGCCTTTTAATCATTCTACATTCCCTTATCAAAATATCTCCATTCGGTTCTTATCGAAAAAAACTAAACATTAAATGATTTTGTGGGGTTATAAATCTAGCCTTACATTAAACAAAAAATTCCCTTTTAAGCTGTTATCTTCCGTAGGGGGTCACGGAGGCTAAGTGGGAAAGACGCTGGCTCGTTAGCCTGGAGGTCGGTTGTTCGATCCCTGCATTGGCTGAGAGAGAAAGTTCATCCAGATTTTGCGGCGTGCTTCCCCCTTGTCAGTGATGCAGGACGGGTGAAAAACCGAGGTCGCGTGTACACATTGGCGTGCACGTAAAAAATCCCTTGACAGTTGGAATTCGATATAAGAGTAGGCTGTAGTGCCGCTTTCCGGACAAAATTTCCCTCATAGCACACTGTATGACCTATGCCCATCTTCATTAGCTCAGTTCGGAGCAGAATAGTAGGACGTTAAACCCCATTTCATTTCAGTTATCTTCCGCATGACAGCCAATGAAACCGTTATTAAAACCAAAAGCTCTGAAAAGGGTTAGATAACGCTCAATATGCCGTAAAGATATAAACGATATTTTTCAAAAACTTCTTGAACTCGTTCCACCAAGAGCTCAATTTAGAACCAATTCCCAGTGCCCTATGTTTTTAGAAAATTAATTATTAAATCGTACGTAAAGTACCATAGACTGCCACTGTAGTAGATTTTAATCACAGCATTAGTCACTAGCACATGGTTCAATTTTATTTCAATAATTCGCTTGCGCGTAGCTGTGAGAGGAAAATGGAGGACTTAGAGAAAACCCACGAGGTTGGACAGACGACCTCACTCCTTGTCATTTACAATCAGGGAATCGAAACCACGCCATTAAACTCTATGATAGACCTTGTGATCTAATGCGCACGCGTTAAACCATTCGCCCCCTCCCAATTAGCGGTTATAATATTGACCCTAAAACTACTGACCTATACAGCGCTTGCAATGTTTGGTGATAATCGGAATCATATTGATTAAAATGCAAATCTATATTTCGTTTTATACTTTGCATGGCCTAGGCTACATGAAGATCTGACCGGTTGTACTGGAAGGTCGCGTCAGGGGTTGTACCAGCGGCTTTTGATTAATCAATGAGCGTTGACGTTTCTAGTTATTTACCCACAGTTCCGTGCATAGCACGCCAGGAACTCGCCGTAACAGACCGTTTCATTGGCTAATCCTTCACTTCAACCAGAACACCGGTAATATAACAACTCTTCCTGATCACAGTATCGTAAAGACAAGTGAAACAAAATTTTGAACTATAAAAAACGAAACGAAATAGGATCTGTGTTTTAATCAGATTGCAATGCGCTAACTTGCAGAGCGTTTACAAGATTTCAGTGACTTCGATAGGGTTCCCGATTGTGATCAAACGAGTTATCCCCAACATGTTGAAAAAAGACATTCGTCTGATCCGGAGATCGTCCCTAGGGTTTCGCGGACATGGGCATTCCTCCTTGTGACTAGCAGAACAACCTCTTTTTAATACTTCGATATTACTAAATAATGTGGAAATGTCGACTTCGAATGTGGTAACCATAAGGTGCTGTATGTACCTAATCTGCATGGTGTAAGGTCTGATTAGTTAAAACATTGATCAAAGTCTATAAAAACAGCTGCCTTCCCTTGAACGACCCACATTCAGATCACTGTGTTTATAATTGATACATTATAGAATACGGGAACATCTTAGTGTTGGACGGACGCGGGTGATAGTACTTCTGTTGCTTTTTGCTGGCAACGTTATGTGCGTCTTGTCAGTGGGTTTGTCTTTTTGGTTTCTATTTATCCTGAATAGACTATTGGAATTAAAAAAAATGTTATATTTATTTTGAGTGTATATTAATGCAGAATAATTTAGTTGGGGACCAATAATCTTTTTGTATTATAAAATAATCATATATGTACGGTCTGCTGTGGAACGACACAAGCGTGCTGTTCGCAAGGTTAACGATGGTTTCCTTCGAGGTGTACAAACTTTTGGGAATGATGTTGCAAGGCCTGATGCCGGTTGTGAAGAAATTTTCTTCAGCCACCCTAAAAAAAATCGTTAACAGCTGACATAACGTCATCATTAGAAAAATGACCACCGACCAGTTCCTTTTTCATTTTTTGGAAACAGGCCTCACCCATGGTTACAAATCTGGCCAAAAGATTATCAGGATCTTCTTCAAAACGGTACGTCAGCAGTCTGACACGTTTCTTATTCGCAGGTAAGCGCTTTTGCACTCATCTTGCAGAAATTTTGTCATTCCTAACTCTTTGGCAATAATCTGCCCAACCCTCTCATGAAAAATGCCCACAACAATGGCAATGTGCCCAGTGGTTAATCGTCGATCAGGCATATTACCATGTCGTGCAACAGGGTAATGTTTTCTTGAATGGTTGATGGCTTTCCGGGACGCGGGTCATCGTCAAGGCTCTCTCTGTCACGTTTATTCCCAATCAGCTTTTAGGAATAAGATCCTAATGATTTATAGCATTTTGTTTAAAAATGTCTAACAATCTTTTAATATCTGGATTTGAAAAAAAAATCCAATTTTCGTAAGCGTATGTACAAATGTCAGGGATAAAGATGTATGGTTTTAGATTTTTAAAAAAAACGACTTAATATAGGATTAGTTATGGTTTAGATTTTAAATCACAACAAGGATTATAATAAACCACAGGATATAGAGCACTATGTTTGCAAAAATTAGACAGGTCTAGGATAAACGGGAAAAACATTGTCTAGGCAATCTAATACGTGTTTTTATTTCACGGATAAATGACGTAAATGCAGTTTTATTTGCTAACGGCAACGTTTACTCTAACAAAATCAACACAACCCTTGTATTTCGAAAACTCTTAAAAGCTTAAGTTTCTCTCGAACATCACATATCGACCCTCAATCATCTGTCTTTGCACACGACTTTCATCTATTCCATTATAGACATAAACACATTTAGGCTTTCTTTATTCTCATTTAATTTACAAAAATATCAGCAACCTGTGTATGATCCCCTCGCCCCCTTAATAGGACTGACGAATATAACTACTTCAGTGTATTCTAAGTACTTTTGAACATCTCCGTTTATATGCTTATGTGATAAATCTAGTCCTTTTACTATATCAAATTATTAAATATGTGCTTAAGGGACACCCAATAGATCAATAAAAGAACAGGAGAGAGAGAGAGAGAGAGAGAGGGAGAGAGAGAGAGTAATAAATATAAACTGTATATTATCATAAACGACATCTAGTTTATATTTTAAAAGATCTAAATGTGTCACTTACTTGTGTAAGATCTATCTCGTATCTTGTCAATAATAGCTGTACCGTTTTTGATATTACCATTTTCATCTAATACTTCTTGTAAAGCTTGGGCATATAATCTCACAGCATCGTATAAATAGGCTGCATACACCGATATCTTAAATATACAATACATGCCTTTACTTAATATTCTTTACGATATTTTGTCGCGTTCATTTAAATAATAAGTTCGAGTGTTCTATGGACCATGAACCGACGCAATTGTCGAAGAAATAAGCATGCCAAGTTTCATTTCAATCGTACTTGATCCGATATAAATATTTTTTGTTTGAGGTGTCTGTATATATTATGTACTCTCTGTTGGTTTGTCTTGTGTAATTGTTGGTGCGCCCCCCCCCCCCCCCCGCACTTACTATTGAATTGGCGGGACGTTGGGCCCTTTTTTTTTAAGAGCGTCGACCCCAGAACAAGACGAGTAACAAGATGAGTAGCGTGCGGGGCCCAGTTCAGATGCAATGTCGTAAAGGTTTGTTAACGGTAAAGAAAAGAAAAAAAAACTGACTATCACGTCAACATAATACATAGGTTATTTTAAAACTAACATAATGGTTATTGTTATTTACTATGGTGACGTCGTGTGTAATGCTAAGCAGAGACAGCGGTATTTAGGCAATCTAGTCCACTCATTGGTGGATCTCGATTTTAAAACGCATATTTAGGGTAGACGTATTGTAGTGACCTGTGTTGATCTGTCCGTACACCTTTTTTGATAACATTTTCCAGTATAATTGTTTATTAGGGTATGGAAGAAACGCATTTCGCACTGTTATCGTTTCTGAACTTGTTAATACGATAAAGAAGAAAGTTTGTGTTTTGACGTTTACTTCTTGTGAAAGTGATTCTTGACGCGACTGAGCATAGGGAAGACCCCTATCGAAATTCGGAAAATAACGTTTGTATCCTCCCATTTAAATTTTGTGGACGCAATACAGGACTCATCGTTTATATTTTAATTGTTAGATTTTGTGAACGCGATAGAGGACAGTTTAAAGCCCATTCGACACAAACTAGGTCATTTCGGTTCAATTTTATTTAAATAATTCGCCTGCGCGTACGAATCTTTAACAGTGGGGGAAACCGGAGGACCCGGAGAACACCCACGGGGTTGGACAGGCGACCCTACTCCTTGTCAGGTACAAGCGGGGAATCGAAACCACACCACTTGACTCAATGGTGAACCTTGCGATTTCACGCGCACACGTTAAACCACTATCCCACCCAACCCCTTAACGTGACACAGGACAATTAAAAGTAGTCATCAAAATTACGAAATTTACCGGAAACTGCGAATCTATCCTTTAGGCCTTTGAACGTGAAATAGGATACGGTTCACATTTACAATGTAATGTTATTTCTGGGTTGCGTAGCCACATTTGTTGAAATTGAAGACAGGCTTAGCACAGATTTTGCTGTGGTCCACATAACAGGGGCCTTTTTTGTATCACCCAGGCGATGGGTATATTTTCCCTGTCAGGCGTGGACATCTGGAAGATTCCCATAATGTGTGATATCGATGTTATCACCATAGACAATCCATATCTAGATATTAAAAGACATATGTTACGTCCGATTCCTAAGCAACGCGCTTTTGTAGAAGGAAATCTCTATATTGAAATCTAAATTGTAATGTGAAATATACAGAAACATATGGCATTTCACAAGAACATCAACTGACTTTTTGATTGACAGCAATGTCCACATGATTCAATGTCTTCCCACGAATATATTTACTGAAGTAGAGGTTTAAATAGTAATGCTATAAGAATACTAGTGACCTAGTATGGATTACCAAGGAAGTAATATGAGAATGTCGATAATGATTGAAGTCAATGATCGAAATAAGATACATGATCACCCTGTAGAGTAGTCCAAGTAGATTATAATCTATTGGCAACACTGACCCATAACCAATGTAACCATTTTTCATGAAATTGCCTTCATATACGTTTATTGTCTATTAAACATTCATTTTATTTCACAGCATGGCACGTCTAGTTCATTAATTCTCTTTATCTCTTCCGCGCACAAATATTATACAAAATGCACAGATACAACCCATAGAAATATCACAGGATAAACCAGTTTTGAATCACCCCTTGAACGTGTATTACAAAAACGTTTAAAAAACCAGCAACTATTTTTGTAACAACGTCCGAATTTGTAAAAAAAACATTGGATATTACAAATTTGAACGTTTATTAGAAATGGGTTTCTATATAGCTCTGAAAGAATGGGAATATATTCAGGCAGTTTGAAATTGCTCCTTAAAGGGATGTGCTTTATCCATTATCCATTACAAACTGTTTTTTTAAACGAGGTCTTGTTGATAAGAACTTATTGATACACTTGAAACTAATGGTTTTATAATGCTATACCAGTCACCATATTTTTTTCATTCTTTTGATGAAATCATTTAAATTTTTACACATGATGTGTAGAATATGCATATCTATAATATATCATTTCTTGTCGGTCACTTTTTGCAATACTTTGGGCGATATTGACAAAAAACACTTTTGTTGATGATTAGTAGAACCCCTTTTATATGGCGCAATTAATGACGCTTTAATGTGTTCTAATCATAAGATGTCACAGAAAGTTCATGTCGTAATACTACATTTAATCCATCGAACAAATTTCCCCAGATTTACCAAATTATATCAATTTTTGTATAAACTTACTTTTTTCATTATATGGAACGGGTTGGGAAAAGAAAATGGCGGCTCTTCGTTATATTCGTTGACTCGTTTTAAAAAATCGTCATACTGAGGGTTTGTTGCTGGGCTGGATGTTATGACTAAAAGAGAACGAGAGGCTTCAAGGTTTCTTGGTTGATCTGGTCTATCCATAGTTCCTGCAAATTCAGAAAAAAATAATTAGATGAAAGGAAAATCAAGTCAGATCATTCCACATGTATTTCCAAAGTCAAAAGTGTGTACCATTTTAATATGAAGAAAAGCACATCTGAGTATAAAAAAGATCACATTAAGTGAAGTGGACAATATATCATACTTACTATTGTTATATTCATCTAAGAGATATAAAGATGGCTGTGTAAAGTCATTAGAACCAATGTCAACTTAGATAGTTATAACTTAAGTTAGTATTGATTGACCTGAATATTGTTTTTTTAGTTAATGTAGCGAGATATGCGCCGTGGTCCCAGTGGAATAAACCGGGTAGAGTTTCCTATTATCATAATGAACAAACGGTGTCTTGTACCCTTTTTTGGCTAGTGGACATTCGTTCCTAAAACCCAAAGAGATATAGCTAGATTTTCTACAAGAATATAAAATGAACCTACATTTTCCCAAAAAAATATTTATGAAATTAACTTAGTAATTTTTCATCAAGCATATAAAATTAACTGTGAAAATAGACTTAATTAACCTTTTTTAAAGAATAAACAAATAACTAACCGTTCTTCAAGAATATACAATTAACTACCCTTTGTTCTACAAAATGAACCAACATTTTCTATAAGAATATAAAATTATCTGAGCTTTTGTACAAGAATATAGAATTAACTTACTTTTGAAATATTTTAAAGGATCGGCATAATCAAATGTACCATGATCTACATATATAACAACATAGTCACCGGTATCCAGTAAGCCTCGGTCATACAGGTTGGTCATGAAATCCACAACGCCGTTTAGTTCTCCAAGAAATACATAGACTACAATGAATAAGAAATGGTTTTATGAATAAGGATTACTAAAATATAGGTGGAATGTGATTTTAAATATGAATCTAAATAATATCATAGCCAATTGTACACCGTAAAATCAATGTTGGCATGACTGGATCATATTGAAAAAGATGAACTTCGAAATATTTTCGTTGGCGCCTCAATAACTAAAGATTGAGCTCCTGGCAGAACGAGAATTAACAACCAATTATCCCAATTAACAATTAAATAGATAGAAACAACTATATTTAATTGATTTACAAAATAAATAAATAAATAAAAGGCCCTGGTGGTATTGGTGACGTCACTAACCCGGTCTTTAATTATTGGGAGTACATGTATTGCTTGCTAGGAAATTCCTTATATTTCTAAAACGTTGCTACATTTTTATAGTGCACAACTTCCATGACTAAATGCCCACGCGCGCTCATAAAATAAATAAACATAAAAACAAATAAGCCATGAATTTGGACATTTAAATCGATTTAAATTCTTATAACTGTCATCAGTACATACACAAGCATTACTCTTGTCGACAAGAAATCAATTTAATATTTTCTTTTCAGTGTTATTTATAAAAGATACACGTGCTTTACACATAAAATTACTGTTAATTTACCAAGATGCCTTTTAAATTGTTCTTATTTAAGCTCAAAGGTGATCCTGTTTTAATATTTTGAAGTAGTTTGTTCAAGAGAAGACTTTAGCATGAAATGAACGTTTACCAAATCAACATAGTAGAATCTGCTACTAGTAGTAAATGCAGGGGTCGGCACTAAATGCAAACAAAACCGATAAAACAAATCTGCGGACAAGACAAAAACTACATAGACATTGCAAGAAATAAACAATAAACATCAAATCAAGTGAATGGATCCGAGGGTTGGAAGCTAAAGATCAGAGATTGCATTATTGAGATCAGACTAATATGAGGGGCAGGGGATGTTTAAGCATTTATAGGTAGACAGAATATTTTGAACATTAAGAAAAAGGTAACGTTTTGCTTTATATAAATTAATGCATGAGGAGCACCGGGGAGTAAAGCATTGAAATAATCTAGTCTCGACGTCACATACGAATTGATTAAAATTTCAGTTACATCATTTGTAATAAATTTTCAAATCTGATTTATTTTCTTATATAATATTAACACACTTTACAGACACTGTTTATCTGGGCCTCCATGTTTATCCAATCTGTCCCTGGTTGATAAAGATGGAGTAATTTGACAGATACCAACGGAAATCAGTTTATTTATTTAATTTTTTTTTTATCAATGTTGCATTTTGAATGGTCATAGCTATTATTCGCATATTACTATTATGTATGTATTGATGGAACAGAATGTCACGTTTATTGTCACTTGAACAGAATGGTTTACCATACATACGAAACAAGATTGGACCTAAAACAGACCCCTGTGATACTCCGTGAAGCAGATCAGCCTTCTTTGGTGTGAACGATACCAAATGGTAAGTCGATTTAGTAGAATCGTATTTTCTACAGTATAAAACACAACTCACAGACCCAAAAGAACAAGAAGAACACATTCTTGATTGTCCAAACAGATAAGAAAGTCAATGTGAACTCGTGTAAGAGCGGTTCAGTGCTATTTTCTGTAAGGATTTAGATATAGTTTATCACATAATCCCGTTCAACGTAAACTGTTAAGTGGTGAGCAACCTAAACTGTTAATTGGTGAGCAATGCATTTGTTCCAAGATTTTAGATATAAAAATAAGGCTTAAAACCGGTCTGTACTTCTTGAATTGATCACAACCAATTAAGATTTACTATCTTAATAACAGGACATAAATTTACAGTTGAAAGATAGATTCTTTGATAGGCGTGTTGGTTATAGATGTTATTGATGTCAAGAGTTCACAAACACGAGTAGGTGTATAGGAACAGGACATCGGCAACGAAGTGATTATTTTCCGGACAGACTCATTCTTTATGGACTGAAAGCAAGGCAAGCGAACACGCGAATAATTGTAATTTTGTCTATAAAGAAGTCCCGATAACGAATGTGCTAATTTAAGTTTACCGGTATTCATGAGAAGAAAGAATAGTTTGACGAAAATTGGGATGAATTAATAAATCTTAAAAAATGTTCCCATTGATTTTTACTGTCTGTTCGAATTATTACTAGTCTTTCTTTTCTTAGCAATTAATCTGATAGAACGCCTTACAGATTCTGTTTTTTTTCTGATTTACTTACTTTCGAAACATCCACATTGAATAAACTTATATGTACATTTCAGTTTAGGTAATGGCATGGTAACGTATCATCTATACACGTAAAAGAACATGTGATTTGTTATGTGTTTGTATTCATAGATATTGATAAACGTGTACGACATCTTTCTACATGTAATTACGTAAATCCACAGCAGAGCTATGCTTGTTTTTGTTATTGTTCACTATTTTCTTTTCAAATTCACCAGACCAATTATGATTACCCGATTACCTGTATTTGTCAACTCAATATCCAGTTTACTCTTTTAATAACTTATCTTTTATTAGTTAGACACATACAAACAAATCCATTCATGATAAAAATAATAGAATTAGACGATCCATGACGTGAAGATAAAATTTATATAATACACAAGATTAGTAATACCGTTATCTTTATTTAAACCAAGTCATAAGCATACTAAAAAATATCCTCTTAAAATAACTTATGTCTATTAATCTTATTCTTCGGTTAGGCTAGAGTATACAATAACTAAATAACGACTATTCTACGGATTATTAGTATTTCATTGTATAGAAAAATAGTTAATTACATGCCATTGACTTGTCTGTCGTGCAACGTGACTTAACAGTTGAATAATCTACAGGTAAGCAATCTAACTTTGTTCTTTTAAGAGTTCAAACCCTTGTCTTCATTAGCCCAGTCGGCGCAGAAAAGTAGGACGTTAAGCCAATTTTATTTAAGCATATGGCATATTCTCATATCACTTCCCTAAAGATCGTTAACAGGAAAATGAAATGAAATGAAATGGGGTTTAACGTCCTACTGTTCTGCTCCGAACTGGGATAATGAAGACGGACATACGTCATACAGTGTGCTACGAGGGAAATTTTGCCCGGACAGCGGCACTACGGCCTACTCTTATATCGAATTCCAACTGTCAAGGGATGTTTTACGTGCACGCCAATGTGTACACGGTTTTTCGTCCCATTCGAACGACTAGACAGATGTCCTTGTCAGGCCATCCATCCTGCATCACTGACAAGTGGGAACCACGCAGGAAAATCTGGATGAACTATCTCGGCCAATGCAGGGATCGAACAACCGACCTCCAGGCTAGCGAGCCAGCGTCTTACCCACTTAACCACCTATCTTAAAGCGACACTCGCATAATACGGCCCTTTACATGTATGTGAAAATCATAATAATGGTTTATTTAATTTTTATAATGGCTAGGCTATACAACAATAAAAATTAATAGCAATGGACACATCCCAAACCACTTGTCCTTGTGGATTCGTTGTGCGCAATGTTAGAATATAATACTCTCAATGCCCCCTTTTCTTGTTTTCGACAACCAAGTGCCATTACTTTATATTTACTTTCTATAATACACACTCTCGACTAAAGATGAAGGATCATGACGTTTTAGACAAAGTAGTTAGCAATAGCAGTCCACCTTTACCAAGAAATAATAAGCATCTCAAAATAACGCTGACATTTGTGGGCCTTAACATTTGAGCGTAATGAAAGATACTTTACGAAAATAATAACGCCGCGAGTAAAGCAACCTACGTGGATCCAGAGGCTACATACCAAATATTCATTTCATTGCTGCTTTAGGCAACTGGAGCACTCCTTTGTAGTTATATTGACGTGAACAAAGACGGTCAGTATTCTAGTATTTTTCAGAATGAGCGTATTTTCCGTGTTTCAGATGCTTTCTCTTGATTCTTTTCTCATGAGAATACACTATTTGGTGGATGTCTATAATTTATTCTGATAGAATTTATGCCACAATAAGTGTAAGCTACATATCACTGTGGTAAATGGTGGGGTAAAGAAATTGATAGGAATCACGCGGTATCTCACTATTCTACTGGATTGTTTATTTAATCCCATGGCACCACTTCAACCATAATTTCATAATGAAAATTAATATTCGAAATATTAATATATATATAGTTATATTTTATAACAAATCCACATAAAAATATAGACAATTCCACAATATAATTAGTTAACCTATGTAAAATAGTTGATTTAACTGATATTTGAGAGAGAGAGAGAGAGAGAGGGAGAGAGAGAAAGACAGAGAGAGAGAAATGGGGTTTAACGTCCACTCGACACAAACTAGGTCATTTCGGGACTAACACATGGTTCAATTTTATTTTAATCATTCGCTTGCTCGTAGGGGTCTTTAGCAGTGGGAGGAAACCGGAGGACCCGGAGAAAACCCACGAGGTTGGACAGGCGATCCTACTCCTTGTCACGTACAACCGGGGAATCGAAACCCCGCCAGTTGACTCAATGACAGACCGTATGATACAGCGCGCGCGTGCTAACAATTCGGCCATCCACCCCCCCCCCCTAACTGATATTTGGTGTACCTTTCATATCACCATTAATAAAATAATAAAATATTCCATTCTATAAAATCAAATATCAGAGATTATATTATAATAAATATTTACTATTTTTACAACTTGTATCTTTCTATAATATGGACATATGAAATACCAAATTCAATTATTCAAAAATTTGCGAGTATTATTTCCGTTTCATATTTTTAAAAGACGGGTTCCTTTTGCGCAGTGCCTGGATTCACAGTTCAGATTTAGTTAAATACTGCCGTTGGCTATTTTTTAAGAAGTCATAGAAGTCAAGCCCCCGCTGTAGTTGCAAGTCGTGGCAAAAAGTTCATTTTCACTGTCGTGATTCAACTGTACCTGACATGTTTTAGATTTTAACCATAATAAAGATAGGTTGCCAGGCAACGAAACATACGC